GTTTCATCCATACAGTGACTGCAAGCCTTGTACCCCTTGTTGGACTGCCAGGATAGGTTGCTAAGTGCAGGCCAATCGTTGATGGTTACGAATAGCAGCGCTCGTAGGTTAAACTCCTCCTGTTTGTCCTTATCCCACACGAGGACACATTCCTTCTTCCACAACAGTTTAAGATCTTCGACCAGTGGTCTTAGGTACACATCGATATCGTTACCAGGTTGCTTGGGGCCTTGAATTATAATCGGCATCATTATGTACTTCCTCTTCATGCATAGCCACGGGGGGAGGTTGTAGATACACATCGTAATGGGCCAAGTGCTATGGCCGCTGCTCATCTCTCCAAAAGGATTCATGCCATCCGTACTTAAACCAAACCGTATGTTTCGTGCATCCTTTCCAAAGTCTTTAAATTTTCTGTCGATGTTTCGCTACTGCGAACCATCGGCGGGGTGTCTCAGCATCCCGTCCTGTTGACGCTCTTCAGCGTGCCATCGCATCATTCTAGCATTCCCCTTATTCCTGAACAAACGCCTTAGCCGTGGTATTATAGGGAAATACCACATCACCTTAGCAGGAATTCTCTTCTTCGTTAGCTGCCCGTCAACTTCTCCTGGATCATCTCGTCTAATCTTGTATCGTAGTACTTTGCAAACAGGGCATGCTTCTAGGTTCTCGTACTCCTCACCGCGATATAGGATACAATCATTCGGACATGCGTGAATCTTCCGAACTTCCAGTCCTAGAGGGCAGACTATCTTCTTGGCCTCGTACGTTATCTCGGGCAATTTGTTTCCCTCCGGAAGAATGTTCTTGACGAGTTTCAATAAATCGCCAAATGCCTTGTCACTAACACCATTTTTTGCTTTCCATTGCAAGAACTCCAGAGTGGTATCCAACTTTTTGTGCCCCTGCTCGTAACCTGGGTACAACGATGTTCTGTGGTCCTCTAACATCTTGTCCAATTTATGGGCCCCCTTTTCACTTTCGCAATCCTCCTTGGCGTCCTGCAACATCTGACCAAGATCATCCGCAACGTTGTTACCATCAGCATCCCTTTCCTCCTCGCCCGTTTGATTTCCTTCAAATCCAGCGTACTGAGCAAAGTCCAGAATATTATCGTCTTCCACTTCATCTTCTTCCATTTCAAAACCTTGCTCTCCGTGGGATGTCCAACAATTATAGCTTGGCATGAACCCCGACTCAAACAAGTGGAAATGAATAGTCCTGAATGCAGAATACTCTTTCTGATTCTTACACTTATTGCATAGACAACAAATAAAACCCTTTTGCCTGTTAGCTTCGGCCACTCTCAAAAAATAATGCACGCCGTCAATAAACTCTTTGGACCGCCGGTCAGCGTACATCCATTGCCGATCCATCTACATGACATGAAAAAAAATCGTACACACATAATTATTCGTACAATAATGACAGTCATACAATAATTATAAAATAATTACAAACTCTTTCAACAGTCACACAATAATGACATATCATTATTTATACAAAAATTATGAAATATTACACCAAATAATTATATATTTACTATTTATAAAGTTTTAAACTAATATTAATGTGTTGTATTTATTTTAATTTTTCATTTTAGTTTGTTTTCTATTATTCAAGATTAACTTTCACTATATTTTCCTTCTCAACTATTTTATAAAACCTTCTTTAGCAAATAAACTAAATTTCTATATATTCTTTCTTCCCCACACAAATTTTCTCTCTCATCAACTAACAACAAAATTTTGGAGACAAAAAAGTGTGCAAAACATAGCTCCAAATGTAATATGAAAAAAAAAACATTGAAGGATGAAGTTGCTAACCTTTTAGGCACCTCCGATTTGTATATAATCGCCAAAATAAATTCACTAGAAATTTTGGCATGACCTCCCCTCTTTTTTTGAAGAAATTTTGAAGCTTGCTCGGGCTGGAGGAGGAAGAAGACATATATATAGGGGTGGGACTAAAGATGATCTTTAACGGGCATCTTTAGTCCCGGTTTTTGTTGCAACCAGGACTATTGTGGAATTAGCCTGACCGACGAAAGATGGTTTCTCCACCATTGGTATGTAGGTATCACATGTATCACATGTATACGTACAAGCTAGCTACTTAGCTAGCGTATGTAATACTCCCTCCTTCCCAAAATGTTTGAAGCCGTTGACTTTTTAAATATATTTGACCGTTCGTCTTATTCAAAAATTTTTGTGAAATGTAAAACTATATGTATACATAAAAGTATATTTAACAATAAATCAAATGATAGGAAAAGAATTAATAATTACTTAAATTTTTTGAATAAGATGAATGGTCAAACATTTTTAAAAAAGTCAACGGAGTCAAACATTTTGGGATGGAGGGAGTACAATGCAGTAGTAGATGATCGATCGAGTTTAATTAGGTGTTAGCTAGCTAGGGCTGCGTAAAGGTCAGGTCAGTAACGCATGGAGCACTCGATCGTCGTCGTCTTCCTCAGCTCTCATCTCCGGCGGCCTTTTAAACTCTTTGCTGCTTGCGCTACATGCACCGCATCCTGCCATCCTCCATGCATGATCAAGGTTAACATCAATAACATCAATAATATCTCTCTCGATTTCTTTCCCCAAAAGAAATCTCTCTCTCTCTAACCCGGAAAAAAATTATACGGCACCAGGTGCTACAATATACGCACCTATTAATTAACAGATGGAAATTAAACATGTGTGTTGGACAACAAATATCAAAGCATCATCTTCTCCCTCTCTACTTTCCTTTCAAATTTTCTTCTCTGAGACATGATTAGGCCTCTCTTGGAGGGATCAGTTGTCGGATGATACTTATTTTCAGTTTAGGAAACAAAAACAAATTTTTTGGAGAGATTATACGTAATCTCTTGGTAGCAATCTTGTTGTAAATCCTCTAATGACGGCTGACAGAGTAGATTATATTAATACTAGAACATATGTAGCTCAAGCACCTGACATCAGTAAGATGAGACCAAAAGTTGCAACGCTCGTCATCGACAAGGGCAGTAGTACAGTACAATGGCGAATCAAGGTTGTCGGCCGGAGGATTTACAACAAGATTGCGCAAGGATCGATGCCAGGTCTCATCGACCTATTTTGTTGGTCATTGGTGAACGTCTCGAAGGATCAAAAATATTTGCCTATTGATTTTCTTTTCTAGCTAGGGCGATTCAACGAAGATATATATATTTGATCAAGATGAACCACATGCATAAAATTGATTAGAGTAGATATATATGATCAAGATGAACCGCATGCATAAAATTGATAAGAATAGATATATTTGATCAAGATTAACCGCGGGCATAAAATCGACCGTGCCAGCCCAAGCGGTGGCCGTTCATCACTGTTCGGAGAAGAAAAACTGAAAAGAAAGAAGAAGAAGATAATGCTTTGAGATTTGTATTCCAACACGTGTTTCCATCGGGTAAGCGGATGCCGTAAATATATTGTAGCACCTAGTACCATATAATTTCTTTTTCACTCTCGCCCTGTTTGCATGGCAGAGTTGTAACTTTTAGAGGTAGAGCCGAGGCAAATAGTTTTTAGGTCCATCTAAACAAAGAGTGTATATTAGCAGACTAAAATGCTCTCACAAAACGACTAGAGATGCAGGGCTTAGGTTTAGATTGGTTTATAACTTTACTCCATACCTTAAATTTAGAAGTTTGAGTCCTGCCAAACAAATTCTAGTCGTCGGTCTAGCTAGAGTCTTCGTCGGTGAAGAACCCAGCTGTTTCAGTATCTTCGCGATTCATGAATGACACTACTGCATGCCAGCCTTCTAGCTACTTCCTCCATTTCACAATGTAAGACTTTCTAACATTACCCACATTCATATAGATGAATGTAGGCAATGCTAGAAAGTTTTACATTGTGAAACGGAGGGAGTAGCTTAATTAAATCCACGTGGCAGCTAGCTAGCTAGCTACGGTATGAACGCAAGCATCCACTGGTGTGCAGGTCTCGCAGTATATATAGGGAGAGCTATAGGGCGCCAGTATTAGTGTTGTACAAGCTAGCTAGACCAAGTACGTTAAGCTGCTTAATTAGTGCGTAGCGCAGTTTTCACACACACACTCACACTCACACTAGTATTCATGGATCGTCAAGATACTGAAGCAGCTGGGTCCTTCACCGGCGACGACTCCGGCCAGACCGCCGCAATCGCCGCCGCCGCCGCCGCCGCCGTGGAGAACGATGACCTCTCCTACATGCTGCGTGGATTTGACTACTACACGTATGGCAGCTACTACTTCTGTCACTCATTTTGCATCGCAAAGCCTACATATATCTACTACTTCTGTTTCCAAATGAATGACGTTGATTAGTGCAATTTTGAACTAACCGGCGTCAAACAAAAAGAAACGGAGAGATATATAGTTTGGGTAGAAATAAAAAGGACGAACTATGTATATATTATGATATATCATGCACAAAGCATATATACATTATTAGTAGTGCTGCTAGCTCCAACTATATGAGCATTTCCCTTTCAAAATTAATAACAGTATAGTAGTACTATATGAGCATGAAATTAATCTATAGGAAGAGAAATTTCGCGTCCCTTGATTTGTATATATAGTGCATATAATTTGGTCAAAATCTTGGAAGTTTTTGATTGTCTGAAAACGATCAAAATCAATACTACAAATTGAGATGTTTTGTCTGATCGTATAAATCCTACAACGAATTGAATGTGACATATATATGTGGTACTATGTGCATTAATTTTGACTGGTCATGAATTACAGTAGTTGGAAACAAATTAACGCAAGAATGAGATGTTCTATACAAATTGATGGTCATGAGATGCATGTACTGCTGCTGCTGCTGCTGCTATATATACTAGCTGCATGCATGGGATCAGCAAGCATATGTACTTTATCCAGCTCTACGTGTCAAGCCGTTAAGTCGATGTGCGTGCATACATATATATATATGTCTTTCTCATGTTCAGAAGTAGTGAAGATCTCTTCGAGTTGATGCATGCGGCAAGGAGGAGGAGGAGCCTGCAGCTTCAACCAGCCGCCGCCGCTACTGCCGCCGGCGGGAATCATTGTGCCAGGGACGACGACGACGACGTTACTGCCGGAGCAGCCAGTAGTTGATGATCATCTCCCAGCTGCTGCTGCTGCTCCTCCATCGGAGGAAGAGATGGCGGCGTGGCTGTATCCGATCGTCGGTGGCCACCAAGTCGCCGCCGGCGGGTGGCTGTCGCCGGAGGCTGGGGATGACCGGCGAGCCGCACCGCCGGCGCCGGAGAAGAAACAGATGGACAACATGCCGGCGGTGGCATCGCCGACGATGAACAAGGTGCGTGTAATATATATCATTCCATTAATTAATTTAGACATGTCTATATGTGTGATATGATTGAACATGATCAGAGTAGAACATCTATATACATTAAACATTAATGTTGAGTGAGAAAGAAGCGAAACTGAAAATTGGATCGAGTGCAGCTAATTCTCCATCAAAGATTTAATTTACTTAAACAAGTCGATCATATCAGTAGTTAATCAATTTCTCTTCGAACCTACCCTTTCTCACGCTTATTAATTAATAAGCTGTTTAGTGAACCATATCTCAGCTGATCTCTGTACATTAATTCTTGAACTGATCACTCTGAATCTCTGACATCGTAATATATCACAGGACGAAGCAAGCGACGACTCCGGCGAGAGGAAGAAGAAGAAGAAGAAGGCATCATCAGCGGCAGGAAAAGCAAGCAGGCATCGCCACGCTGCAGGAGCTCACAACCTTACAGAAAAAGTGGGGATTCGATCAATGAATTCTTGTATATATGCACGCATATCCATCCATCCATCTAATTAATTGATCGAAATTTCTGGATGCATCTGTAGAGGCGGAGGTTCAAGATAACTGAGAGGTTCAGGACGCTGCAACGTCTCGTCCCAGGATGCGATAATAAGGTAAATGATGCAATAAGGATCAGATCAACCAGTAGAAAAACATTCAGTAATTTTTTTTTGGGTAAATGATGCCCTCTTGTTTTCTTTAAATTTCATTGCAGCGAGATACTTATGAAAATTTTAAAACATAGATCAATATATATGCATATATCATTACACAAATTTGCAGGTTTAAATTTGAAAAGAAGAGATAAATATGGCTGTGAACAATATACGTATTTACCCTCAAAACCCTAAGAAAAACAATATACGTATTTAGATTTTAATTTGTTCCTAATTTTATGTCAACTTGTTTTTTGGATAATGAATTTTTTTTATTTCAACTTGTATAGGTAGAATTTAGCTATTTATATATCTTTTCATGCGATTTAACTTAATTGAACTTAGAATTAATAACAAATGAAATTAAGAACGGATTATTACAATTTAATCAATATAGGATATAGATGTATCGTCATGCATCGTGAGTAGTGGACCAAACTAAATGACTAAACTGAAAATTTGTCGCATGCATGCGTACGTGCATTCTCTAAATCAGAATCGATGAATTATAATATATAATATGTTGTGTCGTCTGAGTCGTAAGTTTCTTTAGTGAAAATTTTCAAATTCACTAAAATTTTTAAATGTAACCATATCATAACTAAAATATAAATACATTTTAACTAATCTGTAACTGTTCTTTAACTACATGCATAACTATGATATAGTAAAAACTTGTATTCAACTAACGTTTGATTAATTGGCTACCACTTGGAGTCTAGAATCTTACGCATGACATGTGTGAAATTAGATTTCTTTCCAGCGATTATTTTGTCTTGATGCACGAATCTTAAGACCATCCGATAACCACGAAACTAGAACTTTGGGAGGAAAAAAAAACTTGCGGAAGTTTTCTATCGATTCCTTCACTGAGTACTGACACGGCCGGCATCCATGGCGATGGATGGATGGATGCGTCCATAAATTTCAGTCGAACCAGGCGTCAACGCTGGACCAGACAATCCAGTACATGAAGTCGCTGCAGCACCAGCTCGAGGCCACGTCCGCCGTCGGCTCGCCGGCGGCGGCGGTTCTGTACCCCGCCGCCGTGCACCCGCAGTCGTACATGCATCCACCGGCGCCGCCGCCACCGGTGGCCGGAGCGGCGGCGCCGGTCACGATGGCGCCGATGCCTGCCGGGATGGTTCTTGCTGCTGCTCCTCCGGGGGCGGCGCCGCCGCCCGGCCCTCCGGCGACGATGATGCCGTTCGGAGCTATGCTCCCTTACCCTCCCTACCCGGAGGTGCTGCTGCCGCCGCCGCCGGCGACGCTGTACGGACGGCCGCCGGCCGCCGCTCCCAGCGTTGCAGCTCGTCGACATGGATCCACCAGCGGCGGCGGCAGAATTAGCAAGAGCAGTAGCAGCAGCCTGCGCAAGGAATTGTAATTGCATGGTATGTGTAGAAATTAATTAGTGAGCATCCTTAAATTAATTCGAGTTGATAATAAAACTCCAAGAACTAGTACATATTTTATGCATTGTTGTGTTCCTTAATTACTTGGCTCTTTTTTTTTCGGATGCCATAACAAACACGCGTGCAAGAGTGAATCTGAAGAGAGAAAAATAAAATCAGCCAAATCATGCTTCAAACCGGGGATATATTTCGTTGTCAAAATTGAAGTGACTTCAATTGGGAGAATATAATTGGCCATTTCATTCAGAGCCTTCTTACTCTTCGTCATGATCATACCTGCAACCATGTTATGTGTGATTGTTAATTAATTTTGGATTCCATCAACCGGAACCTCAACTGTATAATTAGTTAATTTATTGTACAAAGAAAAAAAGTGCATGAGCACTAGTAGTCTCGAAGTATGTATGCTCAGGGTTGTACTACTCGATCCTTTCCAAAAATGTTTGACGTTTGAACTAACCAACGTCAAATATAAAAATAATAAAGGGAGTAATAATGTTAAAGGAGTTGACTAATCTTAGTGCCATGAATGTTTAAGGGGGACTAATAGAACTTGAAGAATACCAAATTAAATGAAGATATCTGAGGATTAATTCATGTGTCTGATAGTACTTGCAAGTTGCAACTGCTGGAATAGCTTACTTCAACGCCGGGGAGAAGAAGGTGGAGCGCGCTGTTCATCATTCCCTCGAGGTTGGGATTGGAATTCGGTGACATTCCCCCGTGACATTCTCGGTGATATAGAGTCACCGACATGTGGGTCATGTCACTGAATCTGCGTCCTCGAGGTTGCCTAGGCCACTCTTGGCTGAATCTGAAAACACTGTAAAGAAATTAGCAATAGACTGGCTGCAATGACGCCAAGGATCATGGAAAATACTACTTCCTCCGTTTCACAATGTAAATCATTCTAGCATTTCCCATATTCATATTGATGTTAATGAATTTCATATTAATGTTAATGAATCTAGATAGATATATATGTCTAGATTCATTAACATCAATATAAATGTGGGAAATATTAGAATGACTTATATTGTGAAACGGATTGAGTACTTCTGTTAATGCATGGATATGTGCTATTGGAGTGTTAGTGTATGTGTTCACCGTGTTATCTGCACTGAAAATTGTGATATGTGTGTGTAATTAAGGTGTCAATGCTAATAAAAACTATTCATCAGCATTTTTTCCTCGGAATTATTCCGCATCACGCATAGGAAGCAAAAGTAGATGGAGGGAGTACTACGGACCATCGTTCTTATGGTGTTTCCAATATATGTTTACACACATAGTTTTGTTTTAGTGGATAGCATGAGATGTGCACACAAGAGAGTGTGTTGCACTATACTCCGATCCCTCTATCCCAAAATAAACAAACCTCATACTGATGTGTTAACATTTTAATACAATGATTCTAGTAGATAGATTCATTGACGCATTCTAGTACGAGGTTGATTTATTATGATACGACGAGAGTATGTACATTAGCGAACCAAGTTCCAAACATAGTCTTCATGTGTAAACCACGTACGTGAGAGGTTTGGATGTATATATAAGCCAGAGAAGAAATTTCCCAAAAACTAATTTGTCACTTTCCCATTGTCCAATATAGTGTCTAAGATTGTTCCATACCAATTCCGCAATACGGGCCGCGCGCAACAATTAATACATAACTAACCTATTTATTAACCCTTTATTATTGTAATATAACCTGCAACACAACTAGGTACGTAGCTAGGATGATAAATAGTTACAGGGAAATGGTTAGCAACACATGTATATATATGTACACTGCTTTACAAAAAATGATTTTTTGCATGCACCAGTATTTTATTTTAATTTACGGGTATATCACTAAAACAATAATGATGAGGAGCTCCTGTGATCTAAAGGTGCCTGCGATTTTCGCAAGCAGTTACATGTGGAGTTGTAGAGATCCACATTCTGAGTAGCATATACAAGGTATGTGCTACTTTCTCCGTTTTACAATGTAAGACTTTTTAGCATTGTCCACATTCATTTAGATGTTAATGAATCTATATATATATGTATGTGTTTAGATTCATTAACACCTATATGTATGTGGGCAATGCTAGAAAGTCTTACATTATAAAACGGAGGGAGTACCTTCGTCCCAGAATAATTGTAATTTTATGTTGTTTAGCCTATATTAAGGTTTAAGAAGAAAACTATAATGCTCCTTATTATTAAATGGTATATATGTAAAAGTGGGAGGGTAGTTGAGGGTAAAATAGTGAGAAATTTGAATGAAAAGTGATTAGTGTGGGCATTAGTACTCTATTTGTGACAACTATATTGGGACAAATTTAAATCCTAAAAATACAATTATTATAGAACAGAGGTAGTACTACAACAATTATATGGCTCACATCTATCCCTAATAATCAGGAGGTTTGCACCTCAAAATTAAGGTGTGGTAAAAATCTAGTACGTTTAATTTGATGCATGCACAGATCGTGTGATATGCCACATCGGTTTGCTATATATTAGGTTCCACTAAGAGATAAAGAAAAAAGCTAACTTAACTTTCTTTCTTTTTTTTTTTAAACCTAAGCCAGCATTGCTTGTTTTATATTAAGAGAGGGAGAAACTGTACAAACAAGAGACAATGACCCAGTTTACAAGGGAAACTGGGCCCGAAAACCATACAGCTGCACGGTTAATTATGGGGAACCGCTGAAACCCAATAAACATAAAAAAGCATGGGACGTAACTACACAACTAACAACAACAACAACAGCGGAGCCCAAAAGCAGGACATTGTTGCCAAGCTAAACACAAAAGTGACACAACAGCTCCGACATCACAAAGAGGTGTTATCGTTGCCGAGCTAGCCGCCCAAGCGACCCAGCAGCGCCGACTTCACCACCGCAACAACACTGAAGCCACGAAAGCCGCCAAAGCGAAAGCAGCTCCGACATCCACAATGGACATCAGCCAAGCGTCGCTGCACCCCAACAGCGAGCAGCTCCGACTTCATCCGCAGAAGCAACCGAAAAGTGTGTCGCCCACCACAGAACGAAGTGGACCCAAGAGGCTTAGGCCTCGAAAACACCAAGGAAAGAAAGCTTTTGAACCGAAGAGACCATCAATAGTCATCGATGTAAAAGAATTTCCCTGAAGCGACGCCCCCAAGGAGGACACGATGCGTAACGCCGCCGCCGCTCGTCCGAAGCCGGAGCAAGGTTTTCACCTGGAAATTTATGGGGGCAAATGGGAGAGCGCCATGACAACGCATTCAAGAAGGGAAACGGCGCGGCGTCGTCGTCATCGAACCGGCCAAAGGCACGGCAAGGCTTTCGCCAGCGTCTACACATTACCCACACAAGCACCTCCACATCGACGACCACACAATAGTCCACGACGTCTCACAAGCAGTCAACCCTCGATGCAATCTACCATCACCCACACTCCTCTGCTGCATCGACCAGAACCGGCCAAGGCGGCCAAGGGACCGGTCGTCGAAACTCGGCTAGCCACCGTCGCCACAAGCGCCCGCAGCCCTGCTGCACCGCCGCCAAGGCCGGTGGGCGCAGCTGGAGGCTGCCACCGCTCCGCCCCCTGGATCATTTGGGACTTCCATATTGAAAGGAATATAATTTTTCCCCCAGATTTCGTCGTATACAAATATATGAAAACAAGTCCAATTTGCAATTTTGGATTTCCCGATATTCCTATCAATACTCTGGCTTTCAAGACCGACTCTTTGAACTACTCAGACTTCCATGCATCCATGTGCTTTGCTATAGCGAAAGTTACCATTAGAGCAGGTACAATAGCAGGCTATTAGCCAGCTATAAACATATTTTAATGAGATAAACGATGAGAGAGAAGAGCAGCGGCCCCTATAAATTTGTAGCCAGCTGCAGTACGGACTCCAAGACACAATGTGTTTATGACAGGTGGGACCATATATTAATAGTATAGTAAGCAACTATTGTATGAATTGGCCATTATATTGGCTATAGATGAATTAGAGCTACTAATGGGCTATACTATTGAACATTACGTCATATCGGTCCACGTGTATAGGTTGGAAGGTTTTTTCTCCTAAAAACTATCGAATGTTTCTGTAGGTAAACCACCGAAACTATCGAATGCGTTGTAGGTATAAACCGAAGCCATGCTGCGTATGTAGACGTGGCAGGCACATGCCTACGTGGCACGTTCATCGTCTACGTGGGCAGCACGTACGGTTCCCGGGCCTAGGTAGATTTTGGTGGCTTTGTGTCCTTTCCTCGCCACGCGTCCCCTTACCTTGGCACGCTCGCGCGGCGACGAACGTACTGGCCGCCGATGAGACCACCAACTCGATCGCTTGCAATTGCACACGACTTCGACGCCGCCGCCGCCGCCGCCTTTCTTTACCGGCATGTCGACGTCAGGCAAAATTTAATAGCTTAGCTAGCTAGATCCATATCAGTCGACCGTGAGGTGACGGAGACGATCATCGCCGCCGGCGGCCACGGAGAAGACGACGACGACGACGACGATCGATCCCGTCATGCCCACGCCCTATATATGACCTCTACATGACGTAAGTAAATCAGAGCTTGTTTGCGCACGCACGTGTTCGATCGATTGATGATCCATGCGGTCAGCGAACTGGCCGGCCTGCTGGAGGTGGTCCCGCGGAGATGGTAATCTCGCCGGCGGTGGCGCCGCCTCCACCTCGGCCTCCGCTGCTGGGACAGTCGTCGTCGTCGCCGGTGACGACGATACCAACGAGCAGTAGTGCAGCTACGAGTACATATTCCAGCGGAGGTCAGCCGCTGGGCCGGACTACTGCCTGAGAGGAGCTCGGTCGTCGCGGCGGCGCCGGTGAGGCCAAGATGGCTGTTGGAGTGTATAAAGTGAATTGCCCGCCTTTCCCTATCAATTTAGACTTTTAGGTGTAACTGGCTGGTGCATACAGCGCAGCGATATCGGCGGCGGTGACGCGGCATCTCCGGCGAAGGAGGTCTACTGCTCGGGATATGCTGGCGGCCTGCAGCAAGAGATCCTCTGCTGGGAGAGCCGCAGAACAGGTACCCTACTCACCTTGTGTTCATTAATTTCTGCATAAAAATATAAATAAAAAGTTATTAACGTGTAATTACTTTAACTAGCATGGTGGCCCGTGCAGATTGCGCGGCTAGCATCAGTATATTTTTCTTATATAATAGCATATATATTTTCTCATTATATTATTCAAATATATTAAAATGACATCATAATTTTAAATTTTGCAATAACTTTACAAAATTACAAATGTGTAATATTCATATTGTATTTTATATACGTGTTAGTTATTAATTATTTTTAATATCAAATTTTAGTTATTTAAAAATTATATATATTCCTATATGGACTCTAGACTCGTCTTTTAATATTTCTTTTTTTTAATTCCTAATTTTCTGTAAATTGTATTTCTATATAGACTTTAAGCTCTTCTTCCAATATTATTTTTTTTATTTCTGAATTTTTATTATTTCTAATTGTATTTCTATGTGGACTCTAAACCCATCTTTCCATATTCTTTAATTTTTAATTTCAAATTTCAGTTACTTCTAAATTGTATTCCTATATTGAATTTAAACTATTCTTCCCATGTTTTTCTTAATTTCGAATTTTAGTTATTTTTAAATTATATTTTTATACGGACTCAAAACTCTACTTTTAGTTTTATTATGTTTATTCCGAATTTTAGTTAGTTTTAAATTCTTCTATACTCTACTTCTAATATTCCTTATTTTTTAATTCCGAATTTCTATTTTTTTTCTTAATTGTATTTCTATATGGACTCTATACTCTACTTCTAATATTCCTTATTTTTAATTCCGAATTTCTATTATTTCCTAATTGAATTTCTATATAGACTCCATACTCTACTTCTAATATTTCTTATTTTTAATTCCGAATTTCAGTTATTTCCTAATTATATTTCTATATGGACTCTAGTCTCCTCTTCTAATATTTCTTATTTTTTAATTCCGAATTTCAACTATTTCTAAATTGTATTTCTATATGGACTCTAGTCTCCTCTTCTAATATTCCTTATTTTTTAATTTCGAATTTCAGCTATTTCTAAATTGTATTTCTATATGGACTCTGCCTTTTTTTTTCTCTGATTAATGTGAGAATTTCTAGACCATGAGAGCAAACGTGGAGGCTCCTTTTTCTATTCCTTTAATAATATAATAGATAGATTGAGTTTTAGTTATTACGAGAAGCAGATTTTAAAGAGTCAACAACAGAATAAACATCAGTACTTAGATGGAAATATCTTTATATATATACGTGGTGATATATAAGTATTAATTTTAATTAATTAAGCTGGTTATTATTAATAAATAATTATATTTTTTTTGGCATGTAGAGACGGCGCGACAAGATCAACGACAAGTTGAGGACGCCGCAGCTAGCGACTAGTGCCCTGCCCCCGTTCTAGCAAGGTAGCCCTCCATTTCATATATTAATCAAATTTATAAAAAATATATTAATAATTTTAATACAAAACAAACATGTTATCATTTATCAAATATATTTAATATTAAAATTAGTAAAATTAATTTGAAATTATAGATGTTGTTAATTTTTTTTATAAATTTAATCAAATCTAAACAATTTTGACTAAGAAGAAAGTTAAATGACTTTTCACATAAAACAGAGAGAATAACTAAATAAATTATTTAATTTACCAGGAATTATATACCACTAATGTTTAAAGAGAGTTACGTTGAACATAATAATGTCGCTGACGCTGGTTGGCATGCTTTGCATGCGTGGGCACGGATGTGACGTGGCACCTTACGTGGCCGGTTTTATTTTCTTCAGACTGACAAGGTGTCCACGCTGGACGGGGTCATGCAACACATCAAGTATCTCCAATACCAACTGCAGGTACTAGCTAGCTGCCTTTTTTTTATATAATACTTCTCTATTTCATATTATAAATTATTTTGATTTTTTTTAAGTTTAATCAATTTTACTGAAAATATATAGCATAAAACAAACATATCATCAAATATATTCAATTGCATTTAATGAAATTAATTTGAGATTATATATGTTATTATCTCCATCCAAAAATGTATGATGTTGGTTAGTTTATTTTTCACTAACTAACGTCATAAAAAAAAAAGGCGATACTAAACAAAGGGACTTCTAATATACTATCTTCATTTTTTAATATATGACATCATTTTACCATTCATCTTACTTAATGATTTTATACACATATTAAATATTATAAGTAATATTTAAAGTTTATTTACTCATAAATCAGGCCAAGGAAAAAAAATATTTCTTAAAAAAGTTTTGAATAAGTAAATGGTCAAACACGATGTAAAAGGAAGTATCATCAGATGATCATCCATAGCCTACGCATACCTAGCTACCGTATTTCGATCCATATTTATATACTCCCTCCTTTTGTAAATTTTTGACGCTGTTGACCTTTTTAAATATGTTTGACCGTTCGTCTTATTCAAAAACTTTTGTGAAATGTGTAAAACTATATATATACATAAAAGTATATTTAACAATAAATCAAATAATAGGAAAATAATTAATAATTACTTAAACTTTTTGAATAAGACAAACGGTCAAACATGTTTAAAAAAGTCAACGGCATCATTGGAGGGAGTATATAGGTGATTTCAAACGGATCAGGCTACGGCGTCATGCCGCGCCCGTTGTGCCTGCCACATGGCGGCCGTGGAGTTGTCTTCGGCTGCATGCCGGCGCCGCCGTCACCGCCGGCGACGGCGACGGCGTCGCCGCTTCACCACCACCCACCATCAGCTCGTCCCGGCGGCGCCGACGATGCCCGCACCATGCCCTCATCATCACCATGGACGCCGCCACGCTTCGTCCCAGCAAAGTCACAAATGATCACACTTAGTATCTACGTATTATATTAATAAGTTTCAGGAGTTTTCGGAGACACGTGAGTTTTCATGAGTATATTAATAAGATGATATGAGTGGTAAGTCATGGGTGTCGACGGGTGATACCCGTAGACCGGATATAGAGGGTATTGAGGTACGTTGGTACAAGGATCTACGTAGTACGACATCAAGCAAACAGAAGATGAAGATTATACTGGTTCAGGCCCCTTAATAGGTAATAGCCCTAATCCAGTTGATGTGGGATTATATGATGGAAAACACAGATTACAAAGGGAACGGTGGAACTCGAGGGATCCGGCGAGATCGTAGTCGAGTTGGTTCGACTAGATCCCTGGCGGTTTGGCTCCTGCAGGCTCCGACTTCGTAGGCTGTGGGGGTTGTGTTGGCTCTGAGATTCGATGCCCTAGGTCCTCCCCGGAGGGTCCCTTTTATATCACAAGTCAGGCGGTTTTCAAGTAGAACTCGGAGACATCAGACCCTACACGATACATTGACGACCCAGTCTTGTCCGAGTAGGACTCTTTTCGTCCGTAAACTCCGTGAAGGGTTTCCTTCCTGTATGCAAAGAGTATCCGTATGCGCGTGGGCATGCTATACCGATATGTGACGTATATCGAAGGGTAAAGGGTATACCTAACCCGTAACCCTGACAATGGGTGCCACCAGCTGATTAAGCGAGTCAACCACGGTTAACTTGCCACGTCAGTAAAAACCGCTCTTTTGAAGATAGAAGAGGCGTTATACAGTTTTAGGGTTGAGGGAGGTTATTCAAGCAGGAAAATGAGTTAAGGGAGACAAAATAGACTTATGCCTATTAATATTTCAATATCCCAACCTACCATGATGAAAATAAGTCTCGACCCATGGGCTTTCAACCCCAGGCCCTGGGCCATGGCCTAGGACGTACGGGCAGGTCTAAGTCCGCCCCTGAAAATGGTTATGTATAAACTGTATAATTAAGTGCATGTACTGATCTGTGTGCTTTAGTATGAATTGATCATCAACCGGTGAGAAAGGTCGAGCAGGGAGAGAGAGAGAAGAGAGAGCGAGAAAAAAAATTACTTCCTCCGAATTAATAATACTTGTCGTTTTGGATAAGAGCACGGTCTCCAAAAAATTTTTGCCTTCACCACCATAGGCTCGTTCGTACAAAGGAGGGGGGGATGGAGTAGCATGGAGAGAGGGCTGAAGCAGGGAGGAGCGGGAGAGAGGGGCGGGTGGGGTACCGCAGCTCCCGCTATATGCACTAAAACAGAATTATGTTTGTAAACATACTCCGTAGTAGAAATCAATCTAGGCCATTGAACTTTTCTAATCCAATAGATCATATCTATTTCGATCTACTACCACATTAAGTACGGTAGCAGAAATATTTTGTATTACTTGCAGTAGAATTCATAAATTCATGGTTAGGATCACTTTCTACTAACGAGAATTATCACTGGTAGTAGGAAACAAAATAGGGATAACTCAAACATAGATTACCAAAGGGGACAAACTTTGCCTTGCGCTGCTGGAGAAAGGGACTTTAGTTTCGATTCACAACAATTTTTAGTCCCGTTTGTACAACCGTGACTAAAAATACCTATTTTTAGTCACAGTTGAAATAACCAAGGACTAAAGACGCATACCAAGTCAAAAAAAAATGTGTTGGATGTGGAATTCGAAATCAAGATATCTCACATTAGCCCTCACGCGTGTTACCATCCCGCCTACTACACACATCTGACTTAAATATGCTTTCTTTTTAAACTAACCCTAGATGTATCTTTAGTCCCAGGACTAAAAATATCTTTAGTCCTGATTGGTGTCACCAACCGAAACTAAAGATCGGTTTTTAGTCCACCATCACCAACCAGGACTAAAGATGGTGGACGAAAAATTGTTCTTTAGTCCTGGTTGATGGGGCCTGATAGCTTTTGAACCATGGTTAAAAATGATTTTTAGTCCCGGTTCCTATTCGAATCGGGACAAATGTGATTTTTGTCATCCGAGCAAAAATCAGTTCTCCTGTAGTGTTATACTATATAACAAATGAAATCATATATATACCCTTTGAAATGAATATTACAAATAAATCTCAGTACAAGCTAGCTAGCTATGGATATAAATATGTGTCTTGATTGGTTTGGACTAGCTTGCTGCAGCTCCACTTCTTTGTCCTTAACTAAATCGTGAAATTATCTAATCTATTGATTCATTTTTGACAATATAAAGAACCACGAACATATATACCTACAGATTAGTCAACTTCTTCATATATATTACTCTTTTTATTGTTTTTTTGACGTTAGTCAGTTCAAACGTCAAACATTTTTGCAAGAAACAAAGGAGTAGTACAACCCTACGCATACATATACCTCTAGATCTACTAGTGCTCATGCACTTTTTTACTCAGTACAATAAATTAACTAATTATACACTTGAGGTTCTAGTTGATGGAATCCAAAAATTAATTAACAATATAACACTCTTCGCATGTGTCATCATGAGGAAGAGTAAGAAGGCTCTCAAAATAAAATGGTTAATTCTCCTATAGTAACTTCAATTTTGACAACGAATAATCCCCGGTTTGAAGCATGCATGATTTGGCTGATTTTGTTTCTCTCTTGCAGGCGTGTTTGTTATGGCATCCCTGAAAAGAAAAAAGAGCCAAGTAATTAAGGAACACAACAATACATAAAATATGTACTAGTTCTTGGATTAATTTAAGTATATGCTCACTAATTAATTTCTACACATACCAATTACAATTTCTTGCACAGGCTGCTGCTACTGCTCTTGCTAATTCTGCCGCCGCCGCTGGATCCATGTCGACGAGCTGCAACGCCGGGAGCGGGGGCCGGCGGCCGTCCGTACAGTGTCGCCGCCGCCGGCGGCGGCAGCAGCACCGCCGGGTAGGGAGGGTAAGGGAGCATAGCTCCGAATGGCACCATCGCCGGAGGGCCGGGCGGCGGCGCCGCCCCTGGAGGAGGAGCAGCAAGAACCATCCCTGGATGCATCGGCATCGTGACCGGCGGCGGCGGTGGCGGTGGATGCATGTACGACTGCGGGTGCACGGCGGCGGGGTACAGCAGCGCCGGCGGCGAGCCGACGACGGACATGGCCTTGAGCTGGTGCTGCAGCGACTTCATGTACTGGATTGTCTGGTCCAGCGTCGACGCCTGGTTGGACTGAAATTTATGGACGCATCCATCCATCCATCGCCATGGATGCCGGCCGTGTCAGTGATGATCGAAGCACACATATAATTTATTTGTTTTTGGAAACTTATATGACATGTACTCCCTCCGTTTTTTAATAGATGACACCATTGATTTTTTTCTTACATGTTTGACCATTCGTCTTATTCAAAAATTTTATATAAATATATATATAAGATATAAATCACATTTAAAGTACTATAAATGATAAAATAACTCATAATAAAATAAATTATAATTATGTAAATTTTTTGAATCAAATGAATGGTCAAACATTTGAGAAAAAGTTAACGGCGTCATCTATTTTAAAAAACTGAGGTAGTAGTACTAGAAATTATTAATTGATCGATTCTGATTCAGAGAATGCACGCACGCATGCAGCAGCATGCGACAAATTCTTCAGTTAAGTCATTTAGTTTGTCCACTCACGATGCATGACGACACACATCGATATCCTATTGATTAATTATTTTTAATAATCTGTTCGTAATTAATTTCATTTGCTATTCTAATTTCAATTAAATTAAATCGCATGACAAGATAAATAAAATAGTTAAATTCTACCTATACAAGTCAAAATAAAAAAAATCCATTATCCAAAAAACAAGTTGAAACAAATTAAAATCTAAATACGTGTATGTTCACAGCCATATTTTTATCTCTTCTTTTCAAATCTAAACCTGCAAATTTGTGTAATGATATATGCATATATTGATCTATATATGTTCTTAAAATGTTTTAAAAATTTTCATAACTATCTCGCTGCAATGAAATAAAAAACAAACAACAGGACATCATTTACCAAAAAAAAACAGTAAATTACTGAAAGTTTTTACCGCTGACTGACCTTATCGCATCCGGGGACGAGACGCTGCAGCGTCCTGAACCTCTCAGTTATCTTGAACCTCCGCCTCTGCAGATGCATCCAGAAATTTCGATCAATTAAACTAGATGGATGGATGGATGCATGCAAGAGTTCATATTAGTATATATGGACACATGAAATTTAGTGAAGAGTTCATCGATCGAATCCCCACTTTTTCTGTAAGGTTGTGAGCTCCTGCAGCCGCGTGGTGATGCTTGCTTGCTTTTTCCTGCCGCTGATGACGCCTTCTTCTTCTTCCTCTCGCCGGAGTCGTCGCTTGTTTCATCCTGTGATACATGCATGACGATCAGGCTCATCAGAGATTCAGAGTGATCAGCTCCAGAATTAATGTACAGAGATCAGCTGAGAGATATGGTTCACTAATCAGCTTATTAATCAAGTACTTCATCCGTTTCACACTGTATGTCGTTTGATATTTTTCTTAGTCAAATTTCTTTATTTTTGATTAAGCTTATAAAATATTAGCAACATTTACAACACAAAATAGTTTCATTACATTTAACATTGAATATATTTTGATAATAAGTTTGTTTTGCATTGAAAATATTATTAGTATATTTTTTATAAATTTGATTAAATTTAAAGAAGTTTAATTTTATTAAAAAAATCAAACGACTTATAATATGAAGCGGAGGAAGTAACTAATAAGCGAGATAAAGGGTTGGTTCGAAGAGAAATTAATTAACTATCGATATTATCGAATTGTTTACGCACCAGACAGTTCACCCAAAAGTTTAAGCAAATTTAAAAGGACACGAATTTAAATTTAAACTTTGAGGGGCTACACTCGATCCTATAATTTTTCAGTTAGATATTAATTAGGGAAAGTAATTTCATTTCTTAAGGAGATAAGTAGTCATGAAAAAATTACTCTGTAGATGATTTACTCCGATCATCTTCAATCATATCACAGTCACATATATATACCGACCTGTCTAAATTAATTAATGGAATTATTACACGCACCTTATTCATCGTCGTCGTTGGCGATGCCGCCGCCGGCATTTTCTCCATCTGTTTCTTCTCCGGCGCCGGTGCGGCTCGCCGGTCATCCTGAGCCTCCGGCGACCGCCACCCGCCGCCGGCGACTTCGTGGCCACTGACGATCGGATAGAGCCACGCTGCCATCTCTTCCTCCGATGGAGGAGCAGCAGCAGCAGCTGGGAGATGATGATCATCAACTAGTGGCTGCTCCGGCAGTAACGTCGTCGTCGTCGTCCCCATCGCCGGCGGCGGCGGCGACAGGCGGTGGTAGGAAACCGGCGGCGGCGGCTGGTCGAAGCTGCTGGCTCCTCCTCCTCCTCCTCCTTGCCACATCAACTCGAAGAGATCTTCACTGCTTCTGTACATGAGAAAGACGTAGATATATATGCATGCATCAACGGCTTGAGTGACACGTAGAGTTGGATAACATATATATGCTTTGCTGATCCCATGCATATGCAACTAGTATATATAGTAGTAGGACATCTCATGACCATCAATTTGTTGTTGAACATCTCATTCTTGCGTTAATTTGTTCCTAATTACTGTATAATTCATGACCAGTTCAAAATGCACATATACAATACCACATATATATATGTGTCACATTCATTGTAGGAATATTTATACGATCAGACAAAACACCAATTCGTAGTTTTTTTTTTCGTGAACGCACATCAATTTGTAGTATTAATTTTGATCGATTTCAGACAATCAAATTTCCAAGATTTTGAACAAAATATATGCACTATATATACAAATCAAGGGAGGCGAAATTTCTCTTCCTGTAGAATTAATTTCATGCTCATATAGTACTGTTATTAATTTTGAAAGTAAATTAAATGCTCATATATATAGTTGGAGCAAGAAGCACTAATAGTGTACAAGATATATATATATGCTTTGTGCATGATACATCAATAATATATACATACTGCCTTTTTAGTTCTACCCAACTATATACATGTATGCTAGCTTGCGATGCAATAAATGAGTGACAGAAGTAGATATAGCTGCCATACGTGTAGTAGTCAAATTCACGCAGCATATAGGAGAAATCCTCGTTCTCCATGGCGGCGGCGGCGGCGATTGCGGCGGTTTGGCCGGAGTCGTCGTCGGAGAAGAACCCAGATGCTTCTGGATCTTGGCGATTCATGAATGCCATGTGTGTGAAAACTGCACTACGTACTAATTAAGCAGCTTAACTTGGTCTCTAGCTAGCTTGTAAACACCAATGCAATGGCGCCCTATAGCTCTCCCTATATATACTGCGAGACCTGCACACCAGTGGATGCTTGTGTTCATACTAGCTACTCCCTCCGTCCCAAAATATAAGAAGTTTTAGGATTGGACACGGTTATTAAGAAAGTAGGTAGAAGTGAGTAGTGGATGGTTGTGATTAGATGAGTAGTGGAGGTAGGTGGGAAAAGTGAATGGTGGAGAGTTGTGATTGGTTGTGAAAAGAATGTTGGTGAAGAAGTTGTTATATTTTAGGACAAATCCTGAGAGCTAAAAGTTGTTATATTTTGGGACGGAGGGAGTAGCTGCCACTAATGTTAAATTAGTGTTTATTTGGCAGAACTTAAACTTCTAAATTTAAGGTCTGGAGTAAAGTTGTGGACCAATCTAAACCCAGCACTATATCTTTAGTCGTTTTGTGAGAACATTTTAGCATCTGGCATTCTTCTTTTAGATGAAGCTAAAACTGTTTGTCAGGGTTTAGATCACCTCTGAAAGTTAGAACTCTGCCAAACAGGGTGAAAGAGAGAGAGATTTTTTTTTGGTAAGAGATCGATCGAGAGAGAGAGAGAGAGATGTTAATTTGTCGTAGATAGATGATATCTGATGGATAGATCGATGCATGGAGGATGCAATGCATGTAGCACAAGGTAGCAAAGGGTTTGAAAGGTCGCCGGAGATATGAGAGCTGAGAGGAAGACGACGACGAGTGCTCCATGCACGCCCATGCGTTATTCACCTGACTCTTACGCAACCCAAGCTAATACCTCTAGTGCATTGTATTATACATATATACGCTAGCTAGCTTGTATCTAGATACCAAGCATGCAGGTCTACTTTGACCGGATATATTGTTTGTTACTCTCTTCGTCTCAAAATATATAACTTAGAATCGGATGAGATATTTCTAATTAATACTATAAATCTGGACATGCTACTTGTATTAAATCCATTATTGCATGTACCATTCTGATCCTATCCGTTTAGTAAGGCGGTATATACATCTCAGTTAGCTAGCCCCTTAGGATTAGGGATGAAAACGGAGCGGATACGGACGGATAATACTCATACCATATTCGTTTTCATATTTTTTGCCGGATACGGAAACGAATATAGATAGCTCGAATACGGAAACAAATACGGACTATCTCGAATACGAATAAGAATCGAATATGATCGGACACGAATACGGAAACAAATTTTTCTCGGAACACGAAAACCAATTCAACTTCTAATAGAAACAAATATCAACATATATATTTAGATCATTTTATATAAAATATAGTATAATTTATAAATATTTTTAAAATTTTAAATAATATTAATAATGTGGACTAGTGTTAAGAGATGAACTACTATTAAAATCTAAAAAGGTATATTGAAGGTCATAGAGTTATAAAGAAATGGGGTATGTCTTGTGGCTTCTGCGGATATCCGAATAGCACTGTTCACCGGATATCCGAATTATTATCCGTATCCGACGGAAACCCTGATACCATATTCGTATTCGTATCCGAGAGAAAATATCCGTATTCGTATCCGTATCCGAACTATCCGAGAATTATCCGATCCGAGAGGTATCCGTATTCGTTTTTATCCGGAGCGGACGGAAACTATCCGCTCCGGTTTCATCCCTACTTAGGATGGGACAATACAGTACGTGTGATGTCATCTCTCCATGTGTGTTTGATTCTAGGAAACAAATGTTAATTAATTACTGGTTTTAATTTTACGTTTTGTGATTACCGATCATAATGGGGTGGTATATTAAATTAAGAGTTATACTCTCTCCGTCTCATTTTAAGTGTAGCCATGATTTTCCGTGCATAACTTTGACTGTCCGTCTTATTTAAAAAGTTTTTGAAAAAATTTAAAAACTTAAGTCACGTATAAAGTACTTCATGTAGTTTTATCATCTCATAACAATAAAAATACTAAATAAATAAGACGGACATTCAAAGTTAGACATGGAAACTTATATTTGTATTTAAAATGAGACGGAGGGAGTAAGTTCATGCAAAGTATGGTACCTCTTCATTAATTATCGCAACTAGTGGTACTCCCTCCAAACAGAAGTACTTGTCGTTTCTGACCGTGCAAATGACTTTGCACCTAGTCTTTTTATTTTTCCGATGATAAAATAGACAGATAATTTTAACCGGAGGGAGTAATTAAGAGGTATATATATACCTCTTAATTAATACTACCACCGTTCCAAAAATAAAACTTTATTTCTAATTATCTATCTTATACACATCAATACAAAGCCGGAAGACTAGAATGCTTTCCACTTTTTTAAAGTAATTAATACTACCTCTGTGTTCCAAAAAAAATACTTTACTTTTTAATACTTACATATCTCGCACACACCAATACAAAGCCAAAAGATATAATGCTTTTCACTTTGTTAAATTCCAATGCATTTATCTCATGCCTTTTGAAACTTTACTGTATATATTTGTTTTCCACTTTCTCAAACTCTAAAGTTAAAGTCTTTGTGGGACAAGTGAGTGGGTAGAGATGAAGTCTTCTTGCATTGGAAGGAGTAGCTATCTATCATGTAGCCATTGTACACAATCCAAAATCACTAGTAATTTATATCTTGGGCTGATCTTGACAAACGAATTATGTCTCGGTGTCTGTTAGATGTCATATTGACGGCTCCCGCGCATACATAGTTGTGGTATATAATTTTGGTCGAACTGCACTATGGGCCAACTAATTTGTTGTGAATTATTTTCTACTTACTTCATCCATAAATATAAGGATTATGACTTCATTCATAAATATAAATATAAGGATTCTGACTATGAAGCGTACCTACTTGTTGCCAGGATCAATCACTTATATATATTTATGGACGGAGGTAATATCTTTTAATTAGCGGAGATTTTTCCACATAACTTTTTCATAATTTTGCACAAGCTGTATTTTCAAATAGAGTAAATTTGGAAAAAAAAAACTCAATCGTAGAGACAAGTGAGAAATGTGGGGCGTGGGCCCACATGTCAATCCCAAGTGAGATGGTATGGGCCCACATGTCAATCGCACGTGAGATGGTATTTTTCAACTCCATGATTTTTGCGCTGGAACAAAGCAAATTAGCCCCTTTTTAAAAAAAATGGAATTGGATTTGGTATATAAAATTCTTAACTTTCTAGCTATTTTCATAGATACAATTGTTGTATCAATCTTCAACGTTATAATCTAGAGTTCTGAACCTATCACAATTTAATGGTGTAAATCTTTCACTCTTTCTTCCACTCATTGCCTTGGTAATTATTTCTGTACCTCCAAAATGAACATGCATGCATGAGCTCCCTCAATCTTCAAGCTAGCTTCTTTTAATAATACTTCCTCCGTCACAATAAAAACCAACCTTGTAATATTATGTCCAGATTCATTATGTCAAATTCAATTTTAGATTGGTTTTTATTGGAACGGAGGGAGTATGGCAGAAGATATTTAACAACATAGTAGAATATGATTGTTACTTATTCGAACCAACTCATTCATGACCAATCGGAACTGTCTTCGTTTTACTTTCTTGCATGATTTGCCTGTAATTAATCTTCCTTTAATGATGTATACAATTTAGTTACCTAGAGCGATATCTTTTAAAAACAACATTTCGTTGGCTAGCTTATCCATGCATGGTGAACGTTTGCTTAAATCCCATCACATGACCGCATGTGCGTCGATCGACGGCCCATATCGATATATCGTCGATATCCATCGAACAGGTCCGATCGATATACTCCCGCCGTTTGATATTATACGAATCGTTTGACTTTTCTTTTAGTCAAAATTCTTTACATTTGATTAAGTTTAAAGAATAAATTAGTAACATCTACAATACCATATTAGTTCTATTAAATTTAACATAGAATATATTTTAATAATATATTTATTTTGTATTAAAAATGTTAGTATATTTTTATACAAGCTTAGTCAAATTTAAATAAGTTTGACTAAGAAAAAAATTAAACGACTTATATAAAGTTGTTCACCAGTACATCAGCAACTTATATATGGTATTATGTTCTAGATTGTTCCAAATATACATAATTTTGCGTGCAGCAGCAGCTGCGCCGTACAGTACAATACACTAGTGTGTTACGTGTACAACATAATAACGTGTACAGTGTATTGTCTATGTATGTACGTGCCTAGCTAGCTAGCTAAGCTAGCATAAGTACATGCTATGTGTGTCGAGAGAGGATGCATGTATATCAGCATATGTAAATATCTTGATCGATCGAACGTGCATGGACGTTCTACGTGCGTGTATGAGCATAGTAGACACTACAGAACCTGGTATTCATCTTTAACCGGTTATTTTGTAACGGCTCAATGTATAGAGAATAGCCTAATTGGCTAGCTAAGGCTGTGTTAGGTTTCTTGGAGCAGTGAAACCTCACCTGATTCAAATTAAGTACTACTAGAACTTGGCATATATAGCTACCTGCTTGTATTCACGGCTAATTATTCTTGCAATAGTATACGCCATATCGATCTATAGAGAAATATATATTCGTGGTGACTTCGTCGATCTCAAGATATGACGACCTGGTCTTTTAAAGGTACTCATAGATATATGATGTACGAGTGTGCATTTATCAAAGGTACTCATAGATATATGATGTACGAGTGTGCGTTTACATTAGTGAGTGCATGTGCTATAGATAATTAGTTTAATCATATCAGTAACGATTGTTTATCGACAGTTCAAGATTGAACCGTTATAGATGATGTGTCTCTAATATGGTGAGTTTTTCTATAACTCATATAGGAAGGTACTATTGCACTCTCCTTTTAAGTTCTTATAATGTTCTAAGTTCCGCACCATAATCTAAAACTGATCATGTCATCTGCAATAGAAGAAAAAACAAAGGTTATATTGCCGATGTTGACACAAGCTGAGAAATGGAGTATTAGGTAAGGGACTCGTCATCCAGTCATATGTTTTTTTTTTTGACGGAGGGGATATATATTTAGATATTTATATAGCTAGTTTGTCCTTGATATTTTATTTTAGTATTGTGGTGTGGGCTCAGAAAAATCGTTGTTGAAATGGTGTACTGCCTTTATTTCAAATGATTTGTCATTTTAGTTTTATATCCTAATTCTCAGTTTCAAATTACTTATTATTCTAATTTTATCCTGAGTCAGATATTTATATATTTAATCATAAATTTGTGAAAATTAATTCATACACTTGTTAATATTACAAGATTGATGTTTATCAATTCACCAAAATAATTAAACTTTCTCGTAATATGTAATTCATCCGTTGTTAACAAATTTCTACAAATCAATATTCAGAGATAGAGATATTTAACTTAGGATAAATCTGAATGACAAGTAATCTGTGACTAATCTGAAACAGGTGGAAGACATAGTTCAGAAAGAATGATTTTTTTTCTTAAAACCACAAAGGCTAGCTGTGACTGTGATAAAGCCAGCCCATATGTGTGTGCATGCTCTCCCCGTAGGATCCTTTATTTCCTTACGGTTTCAATATTTCTTTTGAAGAAAAGGTCATGCTGATCCGCTAGCTAGTAGCTAGCCCGTTCAAATTCAACTTCGATCTTGTGTAGATTTTTTTTTTACCACTACCCACGCAACACCACACTCACATCCACAAATGTGTCCCTTGACACATATTCTAAAAGACGAAAACCAGCAGCACATATGCCTGATCTCACTAAAATCATGTTGAAAGTATACCTACATATACGTAATATTCATTGGTACCATGATCTGAATCCTGATGAGTAGATTCATGCACCCACGACTCCACCACTACACCGCTGGTGCTCCCCCAATCTTGTTTAGGTTGATGACTTAATTTCTTGGTTTTTAATTAATCATTTAAATTCTTGGGTTGATATATTGTTCTCTTATCCTAGCTCTATATATATCCATGAAATAATATGCATATGCACATAGCTTCTACTCCCTCCATCCTAAAATATAAGGGATTTTGGATGGATGTGACATATCTAGTATAATGAATTTGTGTCATATCCATCTAAAATCCCTTATATTTTGAAACGGAGGGAGTATATAATTAACTTAATCTGTCTGTTTGAAGATTAAAGTTCATGTACAAGCAGAAGCTGCTATATATAGGTGAACAACGCCAATCACCATTATTAGTTAACTCCGACGAGCTAGCTGGTACGTATATCCAAATAAAACAACATAACGTGAAAAATCATGAATTTAAAAGCACCAATAATAACGTATCCTCTGGGGAAGAAGATGCAAAAGTATGTCGTCGATCTCCGTAATAAGTTCATAACCCTACATGAAATGATGCGCGCGCCAGGGCCATGATCGATCCATATCTTCTACTGAATTATCTCCATATATCTATGTATGATCAGTATATATGCATGGATCATATATTCATAGATATGCATGGATCCAGATCTTGTATCATATATATATGAGACATGTACATGTATGTATATGTATATACCTTCTCTGTCTAAAAGAAATTCAATTCTAGCTACGAATCTGGACGCAGCTAGAGTTTGTTTTTTATGAGACAGAGTAGTATATGTGTGTACCTGCGACGTCGTCGTACGGTGGTAGCCGGCCGGCCATGAAAACGGATGAACGTATCTCCGTACGTCGTCGACGGTGAGCCGCCGTGCGACGGCCGGCCGGCCTTGCTTCTTGCTTCTCTAAATTATGCACGAGATAGAAGCAAGAGCTAGCTAACTAGAAGATGCAAACGAGAAGAAGAGAGACAGAGAGAGAGAGAGGAAGAGACTGTTCTCAATGCAGCTAGCTAGTATATCTATCAATATCTCTAATATGGAGTAAGTAGGTTTTGGATATACATATCCACATCATGCTCAGTGCTCACAAGAGGCATTCATGCATGCGTACGTGTTGATATTCATGCCGACATCTGTCTTTCGATCTATATATGATTGTATCGATCCCTTTTGGAATTGTATACATATAAAACAAATGCATCAATCTCTATCTATATAACTATGAAACCTGGCCATGTTCAGTTGTATGCAAGCATAGCTAGCATCGTCTACATGTGAACAAGTGTGTGCCAGCGCACGGCCATGCCAGTTGACACATGGCGTACTAGCTGCAGGCTGCCATCAGCTAGCGAGCTAGCTAGCTGCTAGCTTAATTGTCTGCTAACATACGTGTGGCGTATTATCCTCGCTACCACTGGCAATGCAGCGTGTATATATATAGCTAGCTTCATCTATATCTCTCCGTATATATCTCTTAGTTCTAGTAACATCGAGACTGCTTAGGCTGCGTTCGGCAATTGTGATTAGGAACAAATTAAGGGTGTGTTTGGCAAATAAGATATGGAAGGGTGTGTTTGGCAAATAAGATATGGGAGGTGAGATTGAGAAAGGGAAATGGTTGAATGGCTAGGATTAAATGAGGTGTAAAGAATAGATGGCTAGGATGCAATATTGTTCTTTGGAGAATGGGATATTATTTTCCAATCACATTTGCCAAACAAAGCCTAAATCCCTCCTGAGCACATATGCCAAAACTAGATTGGGCAGAGATCGAGGTAAAAAATATCACACATTGATAGCTAGCTCGGTTGAGTCTATTTTCTATTTTGGTAAATAACACTACTAGAGGTGATCTTTACTGGGTCGGCCGATTTCCACAATAGTCCCGGTTCTAATAGGAACCAGGACTAAAGATTATTTTTAGTTCTGGTTAAAAATTTTTAATATATAGTTTACCAACCGGGACTAAAGACCATTTTTAGTCCCGGTTCAAGAAGTTGTCAGGTTCAAGATAGACCCCCAAATATTCTTAGTCCCGGTTGATATAAACAATCGGGACTAAAAATAGATCTTTAGTCCCGGTTGTTTGTACCAACCGTGAGAGCAAAGAGCACCCCGAGCCGTGCACCATCTCGATCTTATCCGCGCGCCATCTCCTCTCTCCTCCCCTCTCATTAAACAGCGCCTGCCTAGTTATCTCCTTCTCCATCAATTCCTCTCCCATTCCCCTCCCCTCCCCTCCCTCCCCTTCCCCTCTCTAGAGGGGCGGCGGCCGGCCAGGCGGGAGGGGCGGCAGCCAAGCGAGCTGGCGCGGCGGCCTGCGCGTGCAGAGGCCGAGAGGGCAGGGGCAGGGAGGGCAGCTGAGTTATGAGCGCGCGGAGGGGGAGGCCGGTGGCGCCCTCCCCTCTCTGGGTCGGCGCGCGGAGGCGGGAGCCGGCGACGCCCTCCCCTCTCCCGGCAGCGCCGGATTTGTTTTTTGTTTTTTTTTCAATCTGTGATTTATTGGATCTGATCTGTGATATACGTGATATTGGATCTGATCTGTGATGTATTTGAGTTGTGATGTATTTTTTTTAGGATTTGTGATGTATTTTTTGTTTGAGAATTTGTGATGTGATGTATTTGTGATATGTGATGTTATTTGAGTTGTGATGTATTTTTTCTAAGATCTGTGATGCTACTTAAATTTGTGGATGATTTGATGATATGATTCGGGATATGCAGGGAGCATATCGATTTGAGCAAAGAAACAATTAAAAAAAGAAAAAGTAGGGACCAATCAGAACTGCTCCCACCATCTTTAGTCCCGGTTGGTGACACCAACCGGGACTAAAGATGGATTTTTAGTCCCGGTTATTTTACACGGGACTAAAGATGGATATCTTTAGTTCCGGATTCATTGTACCGATTGTATAACCGGGAGTATATGGGGTTACCAACCGGGAGTAAATCTCCTTTCTCCACCAGTGTAAAAAAACCGTCTCAATTGTCACTCTAGTTCGTGTATTCAGCTTGGTCCATAACCTATTTTATTAATTATAAAGCCACCATTCAACACGCATGAGTAGCCAAGTTGGGTTCGCGCATGAGTAGCTGATTCGTCCGATTTCTTCCGATATGGATTCACAACAAACCATACATGAATATGTTGCGTCTATGTTTATATTATTTTGTTTAGTCAAGTTGGGTTCACTGCTTTTAAAAAAAAAATCATAGCACCACCCTTTTAATTTTACTGGAGGTTTTAATAAACACACACTTGTAAAAATATTTAAGAGGAATTCCGTTCACCAACCGCCAGCAAAAATTAAACAGATTGTCACTTGAGAAAACCCAGGTTAGCCTAAATAAAAGACCCCATCTCTTTTCCTACCTCATGGCAACACAAGGATCTAGGAAAAAAATTGTTCGGCCACCTGCAACACTCCGATGCAATCTCTACGTGGTCAGCGTTCGCTGGCGATTTCTCCTTCAAGGTTAAGCCGGCCATTCCCCAAATCTCCTCAAACGTTAAGCCGGTCATTTCCCATATATCTCCTGCAAAGTCAAGAGCTAGCTAATTAACCTCCATCGATCACTTGGGCCCTTAATTTGCTAGCTTCTTGCCGCTGTGTACAACGGCTGCGTGTACAAAGCTCCATGGAAGCTCGTCTCGCTTTCTTGTAATACTAGGAGGTCCTTTGTGGCTATATATTTTCAGGGATCGATTTGTAACATTACTTATTTGTGAAGGACCCCTGTAGCAGTGAGGTTGTAAGACTGTGCTTGTATCAGCCCCTGTTTGTTTCAGCTTATGATTATTATAATCTAGATTATTAAGCCAGATTACTATAAGCTGGATTATAATAAGCTGGCATAGAATAAGCTGTGAGTTGTTTGTTTGTCTGGATTATTGAAGGCATGGATTATTGGGTTTGAAAGGCTAAAGTCTATAATGCCCTCAGCTATCTGTTCGGTTGATGGTATAGGTGGGTAATTTTTCTTAAGTATGTAGGGGTAGTGGGTCTTTAGCCACTCAATAATCTAAAAGAAGCTCCTCTAGAGCAGCTTATCAGATTATAATAATCTGGCTTATAGATTATAATAATCTACTGGTTTGTTTCAGCTTACTCCTAATAAGCTAGATTATAATAATCCTAAGCTGAATCAAACATGGCCTCAGTACAGATCATATACCTTTGAAAAAGAAACTATTTGAAAACCTAGCCATCTGGATATATTAAAAAGTAAAAAAAATGATTTTACTAATTTTTAGTGTATATCAAGTTGAGAAACTTTTGGTTTGTGGATGGAGATAAAGATCAATTTGATTCAATTGTAGACCAAAGAAGAATGGACTATTTAAGGTGGATGGGGGTAGCCCACTGGGGTTGGACAACTCTAGAAACAAGGTCGCGAACAGTAGGATTAGTTAAGGTTGAGAGAATCCATTATATATACATATATGTCACTGAGTTTTTCATAGTTCTACGATTTGTCACTGGCTTTAGCATGTTCTATAATATGTCATCGACTTTTTTTTAATTTATATGATTTGCGTACCATCGTCGTTCGGTTAGCCTCTATTAGTAGGACAAAAACTACCAAAATTTGGAAAAAATCGGAAATATCATATTATAAACATAAGATCGTAAACAACCAAAATTTGACAAAAACCTTAATTAATTATATACTAATGACAAGCTGCTTCGATTTTCGTGCTGGAGTAGAAGGCTTCCGACCGGCCCAAACGAGCGCCGCTATCCTTAACTGACCTTTTGGACTTGCATATTGGAATATTATATTACTGTCACGTAGCTATCCTTATGTACATCGACGTCGTTGCATGCATCATCACATGGGCGTGTCAGTGTTTTGTACTTACATACTACTCCCTCGGTCACATAAAAAAACCAACCTACTACCCTCTAGTACCCAATAATACCACATCTGATTTTAGATTCATAGTAACAAAATATTTCAAAATTTATATTACTAGAATATATTAATATCTGATATCTTGGATTCGTTTTTTATAGGACGGGGGAGCATATGAGCACCAGATGTCGTACGACCAGGGGTGAAATGGTATGTCATGTGACGACACGGATTTGTATGCACGATGATACTACGTAGTATACGTACAATCTCAATTAACAAAAGCAGACACGGCCATTCCGGCGCCGGACATGCTACCTTGCCGGTTCTCACCGGACATCTCTTGATCCAATCGATCTCCGTGTTGTCCATTTGTAGTATGTAAGAAAGTTCAAATCACGTTTAGGAGAGATTGCCATGCAATTCGAAGTAATTAAAAAGATTAGAAAATTTTAGTTTGGATTATTTTATTACCAATAAACTGTTTTAATTGAATCTTACTTTTATTTTACTTTAGATCATATATAGCGACTTCCTTATCAAGTATATGCATGAACGATCTCGAAGTAATTCGAAGTAATTAAAGTACGAATTACCCTCCCCCGAACTATCGAGGTCGATCGATTTACCTCCTGAATTGTAATATCGGACGTTGGACACCCTAAACTCTTGAATCTGGATGAATTACCCCCCTAACAAAAACCAAAGTGGTTTTCAACCTATGTGGCACACACGTGACTATACAATCATCAAAAATAAATAAAAACCAGTGGGACCTGCTTGTCAGCGTTGGTTTTTCTCTCTCGCCCTTCTCTCCCTTCTCTATTGGTGAGAGGAGGACAGAGCGCCGACGGCGAGGGTCAGTCTGAACGGGAAGGGGAGGAAGGGGGCTGCATGAGCTCGGCTATCCCGGTCATGGCGAGTAGGCGGCCGGCGGCCGATGGCCGGGAGGATACGGCGGGTGCGACAGGGACGGCGCGGTGGGGGTTGGATACGACGGGGCACTAACGAGGAGGACGTCGAAGACAGCAGGGAAGTGGTGAGGTGGGCTCGAGGCGGCGGCTCATCGATCCCACGCGCAGGAGGGTGCCCCACCCGGTCGCCGTCCAGCTTCTTCTTCTTTTCCTCCTCCTTCATCTTGTGATCTTCTTCTTCTTCTTCTTCGGCCATACATAGCCTTCTCTGTCTTGAGCTATAAGGGTGGGTCTTAAGCCTCTTAAGTGAACCTTATATATTGTGAGAGTAGTTCTTATAGGTGGCATTTGCTTAAGCTAGCCATATGCATAAAGACTACCCGCAAGGAATAAAAAAATATATTATTCTTTCCTCTCTCATAATAGTGTTACTCTCTCTCCCTCTTTTAGTGGCTAATCTTGGATTTGTAGGGTTCACCTTAATATCCACTCTTGCCATATACATTGTGGACATGATAATATGTTTCAGTGGGACCTAACATAACACCAATGTAGTCCATATACATTGAGCATGCCCTTAACTGCATATATAGTATTCGAATTATGCCAACTAGTAAGAAACAAAGTCTATCTCTTTGTGGATGCATACATGGATAGAATAAGAGCAAGTTTAATAGTATAGCTGACTACTAGCTTCAAAACATTAATAGCCATTTTAATAGCCAATTCATACAATAGTTGTTTACTATACTATTAATATCTGATCCAACCTGTTATACATATATTACATCTTGAAGTATATGCTACAGCTGGCTACAGATCTGTAGCCCGCTGCTCTTCTCTTTTTTTTTATCTCTTTAAAATATGTTTATAGCTGGTTTATAGCCTGCTATTATTGTACATGTTCTAATTAAAGGCATCGATCTGTACAGTGTACATCACTCATGACTCATCAATCGGTGCAGCAGCTAGCTAGAGGCATGCATCGATCGTCGGTGTCGTCTCTACTTGCAAACCGGCGCCAGCATCCTTTGTTCAGCTGGTGAGCAGCAACAGGTGGCGTACATGCCGGTAGCAGCAACAGGATGGCGCGTGTGGAGTACTATAGATAATTAGGCATCTACGTACGTCATGCTGCTAAGGGTGGGCAGAAAAAAACCGAACCGAAAAGACCGAGACCGAGACCGAAAATACCGAGACCGAGAAATTCGGTCCTAGGTAGTGAAAGACCGAATTTTGTTCGGTCAATTCGGTTAGTCTCCTCGGGTAACCGAATAGACAGAAAAGACCGAAATATCAAAAAAAATATCTAAATATAACATATAATCCACTATGTTTAATAGGATTAAACTCTAATTTTCACATCCCTACTTCTTCTATGCATGCAACCTAATAAGAGTCTTTACTCATAAGTGCTTACGAATTTTTTTTTGTGATTTTTATGTTGAAAATTTCCATTATTTCTTTGCATATATGAAAATGTTGTTGAATTCCTGTTAGAACCGAGACCGAGACTAAAAAACCGATACCAAATTTGTCGGTCCTGATGCTGCATGCGTAAGCAGTATACTAACAAGGCTGCTGATGCTGGCCTGGCCTGCACACGGTTAGATTGTGTATATTTGCAGATACTGAAATTGCATTTAGATCACCTCCTAGCTAGGAGTAGATATGTTTTGACTAATTGTTAAAAACATGTTTCAAGGACTGGAGGCATATTACTTCCTTTGAAACCAAATGAGATGGATGATTCTCAAAAAGAAAAGAAAGAAAGAAATCAAATGACGGATATGTTCGGGCTGAGGCTGGAGTGGACAGTCGGCCAGCTGAAAGGTCCGGTGTGTATCAGACTCTGCCCCCTTTATGCATGGGTTGGTGTGTTTTGGGAGTTCAGTGCTAGTGAGAGCTTCAAGGTTAACACTGGAGCACTTGTGAGACCACCCACGAATTAACAACTATCTATGAATTACAGCAACTTTCCTATACAAATTTATTGACGTACCGTTTAATAGTTCAAAAAGCGTGCACACAGGAAAACGAGGGAGTGGAAGTTGGGTACCTTGACTTGCGAACACAACCTTAGTCAACAGCGGGAATCTCAGTTTAAGGCGACAGACGATAGAAGCTCAGTGTAGAGTAGATCTAAAAGGGAAATCTCAATTAAGATAGCATCTTTCCTCGATTGTCACACATCCCACTTGTCCGCCCAAATTCTTGTTCTTCTCCCCCATCTCTCTCTCTATATAGATCGATTGATCTCGGTTGGCGTTGGCGACCACCATCGCCGCTTGATGCATAGGCAGCGAAGCTAGCTAGACCGAGGTTGGGGGCGACCGAGGTTGGAGGAGAGCGGCGATGGACTGCAGCTGAGCTAGCAGAGGCGAGCAGTGTTGAGGTCGTGGAGCTTGTCGTTACCCTCTCTGCCTGCACTGCAAGCTTGAAGCCACCCATACCGCCTCTGTCGTGAGTTCATTGTCGCCTGAATGGAGCTTCACCTTTCAGATCGGTGTCGCTAGCCAAGGAGCTTGGCACCGGGGATGGAGCTTGGCCTTGGATTGGTTGATCTGTTTCCCCATTAGGTCACCATTATTGGGTCATCGATCCACCCTGGCCCAATATATCGTCGTGTCTCATTCGTCCTCACACTACCGGTTCATCCTCACACAGTTTGCCCCCCCCCCCCCCCAAAAAAAAAAACCATCCCAATAGTGGCATTAGAAGGGAGTCAGCCTTTGGGAGGTTGTTGCCGCCATGGGGAGAGAGAGATGTGAAGGAAGGTTATCCCCATTTCTTAATACTCCCTTCGTCCCTAATTATTTGACGCCGTTGACTTTTTAAAACATGTTTGACCGTTCATCTTATTAAAAACTTTTGTAAAATATGTAAAACTATATGTATACATAAAAGTAAAAGTATTTTTTTACAGTGAATCAAATGATAGGAAAAAAAATTAACGATTACTTAAATTTTTCAAACATGTTTAAAAAAATCAACGGCATCAAATATTTAAGAACGAAGGGAGTATAACGTAGATGTTTATTATGAAATATATTTATACCACTTTATAGAATTTTAATTACGGTATTGACTCACTTCCAAGCTTTTTAATCTGATTTGAAATGCAATTGCCATTATTTATTTATGTCACCAGCTTACATTACATCAAACAACTCCCACAACATCTCTACTACCATAAAAAAAAAGGCAAAAGAAAAAAAAAGAGAAAGAAAAAAGAGTGCCACGTCATGCATCGATGGGATGATGATGTCATGCCACGTCAGCCGTGGCCGGAGCTAGCGGAGAGCTCAGCCGCTGGTGGCGGCGACGCTGTTGAGCAGCGCGGTGGCCATGGTGGTGAGCCGGCTGAAATCCTCGTTGGCCCTGTCCATCCCCGGCGCCGGCGAGTCGAGCGCCGCCGCGCACCCCATCCCGGCCTGCCCCGACAGCCACAGCAGCGACCTCGCCGCCTCCCAGCTCCGCGCCGCCGCGTACCCGCGCATCAGCCGCACCGCCGCCACCGACGACCCGTACAGGATGCCGCACGCCTCCAGCCCGTCCCGCTCTCCGCCGCCGCTCGCCCGCGCCGCCGCCGCCGCCGCCACGGCGTCGTCCCTCGCCGAGTCCCCGCGCGCCGCGGCCAGGTCGGCCGCGATCAGGAGGTGGCCGTGGCGGTCGGCCGTGGCGGCGCCAGGGCCGCTCGACCGCAGCGCCGCCTCGCAGAACGCCACCTCCACGAAGTCCCTGATGGCGTTGCACGACTCCGCCACCGTGTCCACCCCGCCGCCGCCGGGCGAGACGGGCGCCGATGCGAGGACGACGGCGGCGGCGACGAGGAGGACGGTGCCGCGTAGTAATGAGGAGGACCCCATCGCCATTGATGGCTTCAGAGCGATCGAGCTCGTTTCTTCTTGGTGGATGTCTAATGCAAAGTGTACTCTACTCCTGTTAATTTCTTCTTTGTTGTTCTTGTTGGAGTTAGGTGAGCTAATCAATGGCGGCATGCGATGCATGGTAGTGGGATCATCATCAGATTGGCATGCATTTACTTTCGCCGTTTTGGAGGTAGACATTACTGCGTGCTCGCCTGCCAACCCTACTCAACACTGACCAACCAGTACTGTCCCATGAAAGATCACTTATCTTGTTACTTCATTACAGATTCGTCTATGGTGTCTTCGCCAATCCTAAGATATATCGGCCCAGTCTTTCGGAGGTGTTTATACGGATAGAGTGTACGTGTATATGTTTATAGGAGTGAGTGTGTGCACGTTATGAGTAACCGTAAAAGATTGACAAAAACATATAAATTTTAGAGGATAACAAATATCCTCCATGATTATGATTTATGAACATGATAATAGCAACAGAAATCGGCTACGGTACGTCGATTTTCCTTACCGAGTTAAGCCATTAAGCTCAGTTTCATGAAACAGTGGATGAATCTTGGTTGTGGATGCGTCCGGTCAGATTGTAATTAAAATTGTAGCATTGAATTTTAGCCGTAGTAGAGTACTACGTGTGAGCTCAATGAATCTCAATCCGGTGTGCGGCTGGGCGAGGTAGTTGGTTGGTTGGCTGGCATTGGCAAAGCCTCGAATCCATCCATGGATGCATTGATGATGACGTACTCCTCGTCACTCTGCCCTGCCGCCATTGATTGCCTGCGCGCTGGTGGCATTGAAGACGACGACAAGTGTTTGTGATGCAGCAGCTGAGGTAGCTGAGAACGTGAGCGTCTTCAACCTCAAGCTCAAGCTCGCCCATGGCGAGGGCGTGCGTTTCCACTCCTCGCTCACCCACTTCTCCTCCTCTAGCATAAAAGGCGTGTCATCTTTAGCCAAGAAAGCAGAGGAGGTAGGAGAGAAACAGAGGAGCCGTCTTGCCCATGGCGCGGGCGGCCGTTGTCCTCGCCGTCGTCGTGTTCTTGGCGGCCGGCGTGCAGGCTGGGAGCGGCGGCGGCGGAGGAGGGGCGGCGTGGACGGCGCTGGACGGCGTGTGCGGCGACCTGGGCGGATACTACGTCACCCCGGAGCTCTGCAAGTCAGCGCTCTGCGGCGGCGGCGGCGGCGGGGACACGTCGTCGTCGTCGTCGCCGTGCCGCGCCGCCAGCGGCGCGGGGAAGGTGGCGGCGCTGGCGGCGAGGCTGGCGGCGGCGAACGCGACCGCGGCGAGGGCCAGCGTCGAGGCCGCGTCGCGCGCCCTGGAACAGAATCCCAGCAGCAGCAGCAACGGCACGGCGGCGGCGGCGGCGGCGGCGAGGAGGCAGGGGATGCGGTCGTGCCTGCAGCTGTACGCCGGGGCGGTGCCGGCGCTGGAGTGGGCGGCGCGGTCGGTGTCCGCCGGGCGGTACCGCGGCGCGCGGGAGGTGCTCCAGTCGGCGCAGTACGTCTCTCTGGGGTGCGAGGGCATGGCCGGCGGCGGCGGCGGCGCGGCGGCGCTTCCCCGCGAGAACGAGCGGTTCAGCGTCATGGCCATCGTCGCGCACGCCGTCGTCGCCTCCATGCTGGGACCCTAGCTAATTAATTACTCAATGGCCCTTCGCCTTTGTAATTAATTAGTATTAATCAGTTGATTAGGCCACCTGGTTAGAGTTAATCCGTGCAATAATTAAGTTTGTAAGGAGTGTTAATGCAAGACTATTTTGCAAATAGACCCTTGTATGAAAAAAGATTCTCGCAAATGGGCCCTCAAAACCATGGGCCCAACTATTTCTACCTCTAAGCCCATTTAAGCTTCTCGGCCCGGCCTAACGGAGAATGGATGGCCCACCTGTCAGGCGACGTGGGGCCCACCCACTACCTTTTCCATCTTCTTCCCCGCCATTAATGGCTCATTCCTCTTCGTCTCCAAACCCTTCCCAAAACCCTACTCCGCGCACGCGCCTCTCCTTCTAGAACCTTCTGGAACCCTCGCCCCCGCGAAGGCGGCGCCGCCGCCGAGATGGCCTCCTCCCCCTCCGCCGTCGTCCTGCAGGCCGCCCTCGACGGCGACCTCCACCTCCTGTGTGGTAAGCATCAATCGATCGCCCTCTTTTCTCTCCCTTTCTTTTTTTTTTTTTTTGGAGGCGAGCATCTCCCATTGATTCGGCAAGGTGCGATCGTGTGGTGTACTGGTTTGCAATGCACGATTCCGGATGTGGGGGGAAATCTGGGGTGGTTGCAGCTGCGATGTTCTCTGCGCGGTAGCTCATAGCAAAAATCTGGGTGGCGATTGACGAATCGGGTGTTGATTTCGTTCTGTTTGATCGCTGGTTTAGGTGGAAATACCTAATTGGGGGCTATGTGTATTGCATAGTTTGCAGATTTCTGAATTAGCCTTTTGTTTCCCCCAAATTTTCTGTTTGATTCACTCGCAATCTATCTATCTATCTATCCTGGGTAGAAATGGCCAAGAAGTTGGACCTGCGGGGATTCAAGGACATGAATGGGCGAAATGCGCTTCACTTGGCTGCAAGCTATGGGCATCTGGAGATCTGCAAGTTCCTGGTGGAGGAATCGGGCCTTGATGTCAACTCAGGCTCTCACAGAGGTGCGTGCACATCAATGATTTCTCGCGCATTGGGAGAAGGAACCAGGAAATTATTATGTGTGTGTTAAAATCTCAAATGCTTCCTTCCTTCTTTGCAGGTGAGACACCAATACTTCTCGCCGCATGTGACGGGGACATTAATGTTTTAATATACCTTCTTGATCATGGTGGTGACCCAGCCATACCTAACGCGGGGGGCTTCATGCCGCTGCACTACGCAGCAGAGTACGGTGCGTTCCATGCTTTTCAGTTCACTCGCCATCTGTGGGATTTAAGGATGGTTCTTGCATACAAGTTGTTAGGAATCCTGTGTGCTAACATCGTTGTGCCCTCAGGGCATGTTGATGTTGTGAGACTATTGCTGTCCAAAGGAGTTCATGTGGATCCTCTGAATTATAGTGGGGCCCCGCTGCACTTGGCTACCGCAAATGACCATGATCAGGTTGCGAAGGTTCTGCTTGAGCATGGTGCTGATGTAAGTGGTTGATCTCGTGGTCACCTAATTAAATGGACCACAATAAGTTGAAACGATGAATGGGGCAAAAAAAATTTTGTCCTGATGATGATATTTGTTTCAGAAGCTGGAGCAGAAACTTGGGCAGGCAGTGGGCCCATTTTCTCTATTGTTATTTTGTGGTCTGACTAGTTCTTGAAATTGTGATTTATTCCCTTTTCAGCCCAACAGAGTTGTCAACCATGTCCTTTCACCACTCGTTGTTGCTTGCTGCAGCCACTCCTTGAAATGCATGAAGTTACTGATCAAGGTCTAGTATTATATTGAACCAATTTGATGTATTCTCATATGTTTTTTCTGGTAAAATGTGTCATGGTTTTCAAAAGAAGGTTGGGAGGAGATTGTAGACAGTAGAACAGTTATGTTGCTTTGATATAATTAGCTGTCTTTTGAACTACAAGTTGAAAGCATTTCTCTATTGCTTTGCGATGTCTATTTTCAATTCAATAGGCTGGTGCTGATGTGAATGATAGAAGTTCTACTGGACCAAGAACGACCCCTTTAGTGCTTGCAGTTGATGATGGATCAGCCGATATTGTCAAAATCTTGCTAGAGGCTGGAGCTGACCCTAACATTCGTAACGAGGTAACTGCTCCTCAGATCATGGCTCATACTACCTTTTGACATTATGATTTTAAGGTCATGTTATCTACCTTGAACATTTTCGGTGATCGGATATTTGGATGGTAATGTAAAGCTAAGGTCTGTCGAGAGCGGAAGCTCATTGTATAGTTTGATCATTTGCCAACTCAATACCGTATGTATGTACTCTAATACATCTGTTTGGATTTGCCTCTGACAACTGTCAATCAGGCATTTCATGATTTAAAGCTCTAGTAGATAGTAACATTTTTTACTGATCCATGGTTTGGAATTCTGAACTCATAGTTCATATAACAGATTTACTTAGGTCCAGAACATACTATTGTACTTCCGTTGTTAAGTATTCATCTAGACTCACCCACTAGTACTTGATCACACTGACTAGGATTATGAGGGAATAATTTCTCTAGCTTTTCTTCAAGTTCTGCTCTGTTCATTTAACAGTTTCACCTTTCTTGCAACCGTTCTCCCAGAAGAATCTCGTAGTGTTGAGCTCATCTTTTGTATCCTCAATCTTAAGTAACTTTGGTCGGCCTAGCTTGGGCCGGCCTGGCAAATCTTTTTTACTGTCCATCTTGGGTTGTTTTCCATCTTCCATTTTGTAATGCCTGCAAGTTAATACACTTGTTGCAGGATGGGAGGATTCCTATCATGATGGCAGCAGCTCGTGGTCAACGAGAGCTTGTTGAAATTCTGTTTCCTAGGACAAAACCAATTCCATGTCTGCCAGATTGGAGTGTTGATGGGATAATTAGAACTATGAGATTCACACGTACCGAACCTGAGGTATCTGTCTGATTACTTACTTTACTCCAATATAGCATGTATTAGCTTATTAACTACTCTATCCATCCCAAAATATAGCAGCTTCTAGCATTCAAAATTTGTCCCAAAATATAACTTCTCTGCCTACATTCTCTTCTCAACCAATCACAACCTTTCTCCTTTCAATTTCTCTGTCTACTTCCTCTTATCAACCAATCACAATTCACAACATTCGCACATTTAATTCCACCTACTTCCTTAATACCTATGTCCAGCACTAAAAATCCTTAATTCCAACCACATAATATTTTTCTAGTAGACTGCTATAATCCATGGACATATTCATGAGCTGTGTTTACACCCATGGACATATTCATGAGTTGTCCTGGACCCTTTATTTTTCTAATCCGAGTTCGCAAGTTAATAGAGAAACACCTTACTCTAATTGAAGTGATTTAGAACTAGGAAGAGTGGTTATTTTGCAAACTACAACATGCTGCATGCTGTAGGAACTTTGTCATACCTCATATGACACATACTTTGCATAATGGGACATGCTATTTGTTATAGGATGCAGTTCCTGTGGAAATACTAGTATCTGATTCGAAGTTAAATGCCAAGGAAGCATTTGCAGAGGGTGAATACATTACAGCAATCTACTTCTACACCAAGGTAAATGCATGACACAATTTTGTGTCTTCTTGTACAGCTTTGGATTAATTTAGAGGTTTCTTCATCAGTTCCATTACCCTGTTCTCTTTTCATGATTGTTAAGAAGACAAGTAAAAAAATCTACCCAAAATTATTCTTGAAAAATGAAAAATGAAAAATAGCTTTGGATTATATTTATAACAGTACGAGGTTGCACAACAAATAACTACTTCTAATACGTCAAGTACATGAAAAATGGCCGGGGTTTCAGTTTTCCTCATAGCCGTACAACTTGTTTGCTGAACAATACTGCACAACATACGTGGTACACCAGTAAGTTCTTGTCAAAAGACATGCATCAGTAGCCGTCATTGTCATCTCTATCAGGAAACTAATCACAGTGCATTTCACATGTTAATGGCATGGTATATTATCTTAAATGAAAAGGGATAAACACTGTGCTCCATAACACGTTTGATCCATCCAAGTTTACTGCAAACAACCATGCGAAACAACGCTTTGCTGGGCGTGCATGCAGGCACTGGAAAAAGCCCCACTTGATGCCACCTTGTTCGCCAACCGCAGCCTCTGCTGGCTGCGGCTGCGAGAAGGAGACGTCGCTCTATTGGATGCGCGACGCTGCAAAGCCCTGCGCCCTGGTTGGTCCAAGGCATGGTACCGTGAGGGCGCGGCCCTCAGTCTCCTGAAGGTGTAGCTCCATCGTCAGAGTTTCCACTCTTGCAATCTAGTCGCATTAGTTTGTACACTTTGTGCCTACCTCGCTCTTGTGGTTGGCATTTACCTCTGTTATGCACAGAACTACAGAGAAGCGGCGGCGGCTTTCACGGAAGCGCTGAAACTTGACCCTGAGAACTACGAGATCAAGATCGCGTTAAGGTAATGATGCTATCATCTTCCTTTTGTTGCTGACTGGAGTAATATAATCCATGGGGCATTAGCATCAAAACAGGAAAGGAGCAGCATATTTTGACTCTAACCTTCTTGCCTGTGAAAGCAGAGAGGCGTTGGAGTGTCGGAAGAGAGCTGCACGCTCTGAAGAAGATAAGAACCCTTGAGCTGCTGCTGCTGCTGCATCAGTGCATCACCCTTTTGACCTCACCTTTCAGACTGCCACATCTCTGATCTCACATTCTCTCTACGTGTAACTACCAACGGCCTGTTTCCCAAACTATCTAAACTGTTTAGCTGATCACCATGCATCTGTGTCCTTTGGTCGAAAAAAAAAACGTAGTAACTAGGAGTAGTTCGCTGGGAAGGGACATCCCTTGAGAGATCAAAATAGTTTCCTGTTAGTTTCCTGTAGTTTGATAGATTATTGTCGATACATATTGCAGCTGCACTTGTCTTCCCTTTGTGTGCGACTCTAATGCAAGCGCAGACTGGCAGCATGATATTTGTATATGATATATGTGAAGTCCGGCAGTTTCAGTATTCAGTAATTTGGGTTGCTATAAAAAAAAAGAAATGATAGCAATCAACCGAAACAAAGTATATATGGACATCACATTTTAGCCATTACTGACAAATATGAAGCAAAACTGACAGGTCAGGTTAACATATATACTCGGAATAATCAAGCAGTCGATTCTTACGGTACAAACTGCGCCACAGCTTCATAACAGGAGGTTAAAAATAATCGTATTGTTTTGCATGGAGGACCTCGTATGAAAAAGATTCTCGCAGTTTTATTCTCGGAAAAAGTACACAGAAGGTCCCTCAACTTGTCATCGGGGTAAAAACATTCTCGAACCGTAAAACCAGATATACGGGATCCCTTAAAACCGATCACAACAGTTCCCTCGGCGGTTTTTTCTCGGTTTTATCCTACGTGGGTACTGAGTCAGTGTGGGATCCACGCGGGCCCCATATGTCAGCCTGTCCAAGTCAGCCTTATCTTTCTTTCCCCTCTTCTCTCTCTCACTCTTCTTCTCTCTGGGGCTCCAGGCAGGACGGCGGCACTGCCCGACGGGTGGGGAGGAAGGCGGCGTCGGCAGCGGCAGCTTCCTCTCCGTGCTCGCCGACGAGGAGGAGCAAGGTGGTGGCGGCGCCGGGGGGGGGGGGGGAGCAAGGCGGTGGCGTCAGCCTCCTCTCCGTGCTCGCTGACAAGGAGGAGCGGTGGGCGACCCAGCGTCGCGGCGATGCCGCCGCCGCCGACGGCGGTCCTCCTGGACAACGTCCTCGCCACCTCGCTGACGGAGATCTGGATCAAGACCGGGATGGCGACGAGCACCCTCACCAAGCACCTGCGAGGCTTACCGTTCTTGCTCGCCCGCCGCCGTCCTCGCCGTGTCGTTTCCCCAACCGCCGCGCCGCTTCGCTGTCTTCACCGTGCCGCTCCTTTCCTTCCATTTCATCTCCACCAGCGAGTAGATCTCCACGCCGGTGAGGTTGGAGGCGCGCGGTGTCATGGCGTTGGGTGCGTCGTACGCCCGGGACACGCCGGAGCACGCCGCGCCGCCGCCAGTGGTGGAGGCCGACGCGGAGCAGCGGATGACGACGTGGACTCAGCTGTCGTGCCCCACCTCGGCGTCGGGCTGCAGCGCCTCCCTCCAGCGGAACGTGGCGATGCTGGCGTCGACGTCCGGCGGGAACTGCTCGGAGATGATGGTCGTCACCTGCCCGCTCCGCCGACCCACCTGCTCCTGCGTGGTCACCACCGCCGCTGCATCGCCGGTCGCCGGCCACCGCCGCCGATCCTCCTCTCCCGCCTCGCCCCGTCGACTTCCTCCCCAACACGCTGGCCAGCCTGCCCAGGAGAAAATGGAGAGAAGAGGAAGGGACAGATGACGTGGCATCCTGACATGTGGGGCCCATGTGGGTCCCACGCTGACTCGGCCACCACGCCAAACAAAACCGGGGTCAAAACCACGAGGGACCTAAAGCGAACGGTTTTGATATTTAAGGGACGCCCGGTATCTATTGGGTTGACGATTTTGTATCTCGATGACAATTTGAGGGACCCTGGGTGTACTTTTTTCTTTATTCTCCGAACCCCCAAACCATGGGCCTGAATTTCTCTAGGCCCATATCATCTCGGCCCAGACCAGCCCACCCCAGAACGGAGGCCCCATCTGTCAGGCCACGTGGAATCACCCACTCCCTCCACCTTTCCCGCCATTAATGCCTCCTCCTTCCATTTCCACCCGCTTCCTCTCCTCTCCAAAACCCTCCCCAAAAACCACGCCCCCGCCTTCCAGAACCTTCTGGAACCGCGATGGCCCCCTCCCCTTCCGACGTCGCCCTGCAGGCCGCCCAGGACGGCAACCTCCGCCTCCTCAGGAGTAAGCGCGCCACCCACTTCGCTGCCCCCATCTCTCTCGTCTCGTCTCGGGGGTGATGAGTCGATGAACCGTCGCCTGATTCCTCGCGCATCTCGCATTGTTTCGGTCCGGGATCGGGACGCTCGCGTGATGTTTCGGGGGGTTGTTGCAAGTTTGATGCTCTGTGCGGTTACTGTTCTTTTTTTTTTTGTGGGGGAATGACGAATTCGGGTATTGATTTCGTACGGTTTGCTGGCTAGTTTAGATGGAAATCCTCCAATTCGAGGATAGATGGATTGGATTTACTCGATTTCTACGGTTTGGACTCCCATTTGTGCGGATTGCTGAATTAGCTACAGTATATTTTCCCCCCTTTTTTTAATCTGTTTGATTCACTTACATGGCTGTGTTGTTCGGATTTTGCTGCTGCTGGTGGAATCGATCCTTTGTAGAGATGGCGAAGAAGTTGGATTTGCGAGGAGTCAAGGACAAGAATGGCCTAAGCGCGCTTCACTTCGCTGCAAGCCATGGGCACCTGGATTGCTGCAAGTTCCTTGTGGAGGAATCGGGCCTTGATGTCAACTCGGTTGGTCACAAAGGTGCGTGCAGGCACATTTGGTGATGTATTATTTATTTACGATTTGAGAGCATGAACCAGGAGTTTATTGTTTTCGGAAGAATCCCAGAGAGGCTACTGTGTGGCTAACATCTGAAATGCCTTCCTCCTTGTAGGTGAAACGCCAGTGTTCTATGCCGCGATCGATGGGAACGTTCAGGTTTTGGGGTACCTTCTTGATCATGGTGGTGACCCGGTGAAACCCGAGGAGAGGGGCTGCACGCCGCTGCACAATGCGGCAGAGAATGGTCTGCTTACTGTGCTCTTCGGTTCACTTGCCGTATCTGGATTTTAAGGATGGCTTATATGGCATTTCTTGCATACAAATGACATGATATCTGTCTGTGGATTATCTTGTTTGAACCTTTGTGCTAATTTTGTTGTGCCCTAGGGCATGATGAGGCTGTAAGACTATTGCTGTCCAAAGGAGTTCATGTGGATCCTCTGAATTATCGTGGGGCCCCACTGCACTTGGCTGCCTCAAAGGACCGGGTTCAAGCCATGAAGGTTCTGCTTGAACATGGTGCTGATGTAAGTGGTGGTTCTCGTTGTTATCGTCGCCTGATTACATGAACCAATAAATTGATGAAATGACAAATGCAGTAAATTTTCTTGGCTTGATGATTAAATGTCTTATTTTAAAAATTAGAGCAGAAACTTGGGAGGCAGTGGGCTTTTCTCTCTTATTATTTTGTGATCTGACTGGTCATTTTTTTCAAATTGTGATTCTTTTCCTTTTCAGCCCAACAGAGTTGTCAATCATATCTTTTCACCACTCATGATGGCATGCTGCGGGCACTCCTTGAAATGCGTGAAGCTACTTGTTGAGGTCTGGTATCATATTCAACCAACTTAATGTATTCTCATGTGTTTTTCTGCTTAAATGTGTCCTGGTTTTTAAAAGATGGTTGGGAGGAGATCCCATATTAACAAAGCCATTGTGTCAATTTGATGAAAGTTGATGTCTTTTTAGTTCTATATTGAGATATTGTCTCTAAAGCTACCTTACTTTGCTATGTATATTTTCAAATCAATAGGCTGGCGCTGATGTGAACGGTAATAGTACCAATGGACCTACCCCTTTAACTGAAGCGGTTGATGACAGTTTAACCGATGTTGTCAAATTCTTGGTAGGGGCTGGAGCTGACCCTAACATTCCTGACGAGGTAACGGATCCTCTGCCTTTGCCCCATACTGGTTATTGACAGCTCTTAGGATTGAATGTTATCTGCCTTGCACATATGGTGATTGTATACTTGGCTGATAATCTAAACAAAGGTCTCTTAAGAACATGAGTGCATTGTATAGTTTGACATGTCAACTCAATATTGTGTGTATGAACTCTGATTAATATGTTTGGATTTAATTCTGACTACACTTAGATCAGACATTCCATGATTGGCAGCTCTAGTAGATAGTGACAGTTCACCATTGCATGTTTTGGAATTGTGAATTTTTAATTCGATTTAATCCATACAATAGGTTTACTTATCTCATATGGTGAAATCTCTAGGTCCAGAGCATGCTATTGGACTTCCATTGTTCAGGATATTTGTCTAGGCTCACCCATCAGTACTTGATTGGAATAATTTCTCTAGCTTTTCTTCGAGCTATGCTCTGTTCCTCTAACAGTTTCGCTTTTCTTGCAACTGTTTCCCAAAGAGTGTCATAGTGTTGAACTGATATCCTTTTTACTCTTCATACTGGGATGTTTTCCATCTTCCATTTTGTAATGTCTGACCAATTCAATGCAGGAAGGGAGGATTCCTATCATGGTGGCAGCAGCTCGTGGTCAACGAGAGCTTGTTGAAATTCTATTTCCTCGGACAAAACCTATTCCATGTCTGCCAGATTGGAATGTTGACGGGATAATTAGAACTATGAGAACCACACGTATTGAACCTCAGGTATGTAGGTGATTGCTTGCTTCATTCTAACATATCTTGTGTTGCTGTGTTCTAACTTATTCATTGTGCCTTTTTATGAACATTTTATGCTGCATTCCCCTTGAATCAGTCACAAGGGCATAATAGTTAGTTTGCCAACTGCAACACATCGCATACTGTTTGAACTTTGTCATACCTCATTTTTTTGATAATGTTGTCATACCTCATGCACATAATCTTCATAACCAAACATGCTATTTGTATAGTCTGCTATTCCTGTGGAAGAACAAGTGTCTGATGCAAAGTCGAAAGGAAAGGAAGCATTTGCAAAGGGTGACTACCTTACAGCCATCTACTTCTACACCCTGGTAAATGCACAAGTGCACGACACAATTATTGTCTGCTTGATACAGATTTGAGATTTGGGTTATAATCCGAAGCTGATTTTCAATTTTAGTATTTGTTTTTATGATTATTTTCGGGGGTATGTTTGTCACTTATGTTGCCCAGCTCTCTTTTCATGATTGCTAAGAAAAGTAAAAGTTCTACTTAACAATCATATTTGGAACAGTACAAGGTTACACAAGAAATAGCTAATTCTAAAAATATCAAGTACGGGAAACATGAAGGGGCTTCAGTTTTCCTTGTAGCCATACGACTTTTTTTGCTGAACAATAAATTGTTAATAACATGTGTTGGACCATCCGTGGTCCTTGTAAAAGAACAGTACTCTTTATTGTCATCTACAAGTAATTACAGTGATTTCTCATGATATGTTAAGTTGAATGCTAGGGGGAAACGCTGTATTCCGTAACCTGTTAGATCCACTCAAATTTACTCCAAATAATCATGTGAAACAGCACCTGTTGGTCTTGAATGCAGGCAATGGATAAATCCCCACTTGATGCCACCTTGTTTGCCAACCGGAGCCTTTGCTGGCTGCGGCAGCGAGAAGGGGACAGAGCTTTACTGGATGCACAGCAGTGCAGGATGCTGCGCCCTGGTTGGTCCAAGGCATGGTACCGTGAGGGCGCAGCTCTCAGTTTCATGAAGGTATAACCTCGTCATCGATTTTGCTCTCAAAATCTAGTTACATTTTCACAGCTGCGCCTCACTCACTCTTGTGGATGGCCTTTGTCTATTTAAAGGACTACAAAGGAGCAGTGGACGCATTCGGGGAGGCACTGAAACTTGACCCCATGAGCGACGAGGTCAAGAACGCGTTAAGGTAATGCTAAATTTATCTTCTATTGCTGGCTTGACTGACTCAATCCACGGAACATTGACGTCTAAAATTGATAGGTGCTCTTGTAATTCCAAACAGAATTTTTCACTAAAAATTTACATGAATGCAGGGAGGCGATCGAGTGTCTGAAGAGAGCTGCTTGATCTGAAGATCCGAATAACCCTTGAGCAGCTACTGCATCGTCCTTTTGGCCTCACCTCACCTGTCAGACTGCTTCACATCTTTCCACTGTAACTACCAACGACTAGGTTTTGCAAACCATGCTGACTGTTTAGCTATCTCTGCTGTCAGAGTACGTATGGCAGGAACATGCACTGTCTTTCGGTCAGAAACCATATGGTTTGCTAGGTCATCATCACCCATACATATGCAGTTGCACTTTCTTCCATTTTGTGCGCAACTCATGCAAGTGCAAACTGGCAGTAATAGTATATGATATGTAAAGTTCGTCAGTTTCTGAACTCAGTACTTTGGTTTGTTATGAACTTCTATGATACTCCATCCGTTTCACAATGTAAGATTTTCTAGCATTGCCCACATACATATAGATGTTAATAGATGTTAATGAATCTATGTATGTCTAGATTCATTAACATCTAAATGAATATGGGTAATACTAGAAAGTCTTACATTGTGAAACGGAGGAAGTACTAATCAACTCAAGCAAAGTATGAGCTCGTTTAGCTGGCTCAGTTCAAAATTGCTTCGATTGATCCAGTTTTCCTTTTAAATAAAAAATATTTAATTTTGAACAGAAGTTATTTCCACCTTGGCTCAGCTCGGCTCGTTAGGTTAGCTCATTAACAAAAAAAAGAAGACTCAAATGATAGAGAAAAAAAATAATAAATCATAAAAATATAAATTTGAAGAAAGCTCGATAAAAAAACTGATCAAAACTTTTTTTTTCACCCTATTCACACGTTCAGACAGCTTAAATTTGAAGCAAAACTGACAGGTCAGATAAATGTCATCAAGCAATCAATTCTCATCGTCTCATGGACAACTGCTACGGCTTCACAATGGGATAAAGCCTGTGCATGTCTGCTGGTACAGAAGATGGGTGACATTCGGCCTGTTTGGTACAGCTCCAACTCAGCTCCAGGAGTTGAGTCTGGAGTGGAGTTGTGGAGCTGACTAAACCCAGCTCCACAACTCTAACATTTTGTGAGAGAGCTCCACCCAACTCCCAATTTTTGTAGAGCTGAAACTATTTGGCTGAGCTCCTACTCCAGGAGGGGTGGAGCTGGAGTTGGAGCTCCAGCTCCACAACTCTAACATTTTGTGAGAGAGCTCCACCCAACTCCCAATTTTTGTAGAGCTGAAACTATTTGGCTGAGCTCCTACTCCAGGAGGGGTGGAGCTGGAGTTGGAGCTGTACCAAACAGACCTCAGAGGATAACAAAGGAGCAAAAGAAAAAAAAAATCTAGCATACAGATGATACAGAAAAGATTGAAGAACAGATTGGCTATCACTTTGATCTTATGGTTTAGGATTTGGAAGCAATTTTCAGTCTAGTACCACATCAGTTTAACATTAATCCAGGATACAACCAAGCTGCAGTCCACTAAAAACTGAAGCCAATTTAATCCCTTCCAAGGGAAGAGCAGCTAAAACTGACATTATGTATCCTCTCTTTGACCAACCTAAACACCAGTTTTCTCTGCGCCTACCAAATTACAGCAACTTTAAATTTACCTGTATATCAAGAACGAAAAAAAAAACTAACAAATTCTGCCAGAATGGAGCAGCATTCAACAGCATCAATGGAGGGAAGGGGAGCTTTGAGTATGGCACAGCCGCTTTCTTTTGAGTATATGTCATCAGGGGAGAAGAGAATCCTCCTCCCATATATGGTGATATGTTTTCCCGGGTGGCGGAACTTCACGACCTTGTGCCAAATCCGGTGATCGTCGACAGGTGGGACATCTGAAGATGGTTCGTTTCAAGACTATGCGGCCTTTGGCCGCCCGTAGGATATCACCATCACATAGTCTCCCCCGGAGGAGCCGACCACAGTCTGCAAGGTGCGAGCTGGGCCGAACCTCAGCCACCGCTCTATTAAATTGCGCAGGGGTTGAATTGGGTTCACTGGCTGACCGCAGCAGCTTATTTCAACCTGCAAATGAAAAGTTTGGTACTGTTCAGACGAGTTGTAATGCTGAACTCAAAGCTGGCATCCGCGTAAAAATAGAAAATGAAGATAGCCAGATCCCGGATGCCATTTTAGCAGACAACATGGTATATAGACCACAAAGTGCTAGAAACAGCAGGTGTGTCCTTATATCTACTTCTAAGCTAATGAGCTACTCAGTTTCAAGATATACCACCATTTACGGCATTTCGTTTAATTACATTAAGGATATTATTTTCAAGCAGCCTACTTATAACCTTATATTTCATAACTGCAGTAAAATAAAGTACAGGAAAACAGTTGCTCAAAAATACAGGAAGGGTAGAAGTCTCACCTCAGTCTCACTTGGAAGACTGAGCTTCTGCATGATATACTTTTGGATGGATGACGCGGGCATATTGTCATCTCTATCAATGGATAAATAAACAATGCGTTAAGCTACAAGAAAAATAAAAGAATATATTTTTGCTAAATAACTAAATAACTGCCAAGTACACCAACAGGCGTACAAAGTAACTGAAGCTACGCTAAAATTAGCTACTAGGTACTAAGCTAAAGAAGTAATATGCAAGCTACTGAAGTTGACAGTTGAATCCTCAACTAGGCTAACTATCATGGTTATTAGCAAGAACAGACCAGACCATCAGTCCTTGGCTATAATAAGCACTTTCTCACAACAAAATGTATTAATACAATTTAGAGCTTTGGATGACCTTCTAATCTGCTGGTATGTTGGCTAATAAAATGTAATAAACCATTTAGATTATATGTAAATAATTACGCACTATTGATGGACTAAAGGCTAAAGCTATCCAGGGCAGCACAAACAACCTTATGACAACTACAAGACCATGCAGAAACTACCTGAGGAACAACCTTATGAACAACCAATTTGGTTTCAAAGGCTGGAAATCTGAAATTGGATTCCCGCTTAGCACAGTGTAGTTGACACAATTGAAAACAAAGAATGTTGTGGTGTCAAGGTATCAAATGTTCAGTTATCTGCAGGAACTAGCCACCAATCACCAATGACCGATCTGTCTATCTAAATCCTCTGCACATGCATGCGGAGCTAAATGGAATCAAGTTTTGTCAAATAGTAGGTCAGAAAGGTTATATACGTTGGAGGAAACCAGTTATGCGAATACACGCACATGCAAATGACACTATTGCTAAAGGTCATGGCATAATGTCTCTGGAAATAGTCTTTATCCCTTCTATGTTCAAACCAACTTTCAAGTTTCCTGCTTTTTCCATTTCCATTGGATACGTATATTTCATACAAACACCAAGAACATCCATCTCAGTGCAAATTATAAATTAGATCAGACATGCATTTCAAACAGAGGTGAGGAACATGGACTCACTTTATTCTCAAATAATGGGTTGGTATCTGCGGCAAGGGTGGAGCACCTTTCCTGAAAAGAATAGGATCACAGAAGATAAGGGGGAAGGAAAACACATGCAGGAGGTTGTTTGGACTGAATTTGAGAATAATTGGTATTATGATGATGACTTACTGGTCAAATGATGCAATCAATGAAAACCATACAGGGGTTAATAATTTTTCATGCTTGCTAGCTGAATGACTAGACACTGCAGCGGCTGGGGGTTGTGCAGGTTTCCTCCCCCGGCCAGGTCCTTTCCTTTTAAACGGAACTGTTGCCACAGGAACTTCTTTCTTCTCATCTTGAACTTTGGACTTAAGCAGATACTCCCTAGCCTTAGTTCTGCTAGCATTTGCACTACTAGGAGATTCAGTGGGCTGATTTCCCCTAGCAGCTGAACTTGATCTATAGGACTTTGTTTTGCTTGCAGCCTCTACAAGACAATTTAAAGGTCTCCAGAGCTCTGACTTGTCCAAGTCCTTATCGTCACCTCCTTTATCTTTACTGGAGGGATGACTCGATGTTTCCGCATTTGACAATACCTGCAAACGGTTCTTCCATTGATTAGTTTTTGATAATTTCCAAGGCACTTGGGGATGCACAGGCTCCATGTAGATAATGTGAAAACACAAAGTACAAAGCTACTGGCTAACAGGGAATGGTTCGATTGGATTGCTAGAGGATTTCTTTACCTGTCTTCTTGTTTGAGGTACTTTGCTCAAGCTGTCCAGCAAGCTTGAATTATCAGCATTCTTATTGGTGTTATCACTATCCTTTTTCACAGGAGGAATGATAGGACCAAGGTCACGTAATGCGGCAGCAGACTTCCTGGTAGATGCCCTTGTTCGGCGCCCTGTCAAACTCTTTGGTGTTATTTCAGGTGTATTGACCACCAATGAAGAGATAGATCTCTCTTTCCTTTTAGCAGGCGGCGCAATAGGAGATTCAACCTCTTCAGCATTAACCTTCTTTCTTTTCAATGGAAATATTTTTGACCTCACATCTTGTATATTGTGATCAGCTCTGAAATCAAGATATTAAAAAATGAGGAACCACATGTCAACAACCAAAATTGTTTTCACTAAAATTTCCATGATTCATCAGGGTTACATAATCAAGTTTATTTGCCAAATCTTGGTCAAATAGCTACATTTCAGTTACACGTAACAACAAGCGTGTCTCTGGTGAAGACAAGTTAAGTCCCACCTAATACAGAGGCTTCTCTAAATGGGCTTTCTCATGAACAAATGATTGACAGAAGTCCTCAAAAAAAAGAAGATCCAATGACAGAGAAGCTATGGTACTCATAGATCTCAAACCATGTCAAACAATTATTAAAAAAACAAAATGATGCCAACAAGAAACAACACTGCTGATCAAAGAATTATCCATAATTCCACATCTGTATAAGGAATTCTTATGTGAGAGCCTTATTGTACAACTGGCATCTAATGTTACACAATGCATGCCTGTGTTAAACCTCATAGGATTCAAGAAGCATTAAGCAACATAGATTATTTGGTGGTTTGGAACATTACAGAGAATTGCTAACCATAACTGGAGTGTAACTGCATAATAGTTCCACCACTTCATCAAACAGACAGTAACATAGCCACATTCCAGCTTATCCACAAGCTGAATAAATCGTTTATGCTTAAGAATTTATAATTTTCCATGCCTACCTTGCTTGTTATCATCTATTATTTGTTATTATCTATAGTTCAGCAAGACAATCTATCGTGATGATTTGTGATCGAATATCAAGTTATGACATCTTCCTGTTCAATGGAAATATGTGCATTACAGTAAGAAATCCAGGGAACTTATGTGAAGTCAAGTAGTGGTAACTAACATATATGGCAGAGAAAAAGAACAGTTAGAAAAGAATATGACACAATGTACTTCTATAAGTAATTTCTCCCAAGAAAAGGTTATGAGAAGAATAATACCTAAGCTTCTCGAGGGGAGCACAGCCAAGATCAATTTTACAGACTGGACAGTGCTCTAGCTCTTCATCATTAATCTTCTTATAGATACACTTTCTACAAACTGCATAGTGCAAACAAGAAAGTGTGAGTAAATAAATAGGTGCATATTTCATAGTGTAGAAGAGTGGGACAAGGAAATATACTTAAAATCACAGAAATCGAGAAATCTACAGAAAAAAAAAACTTTTCCATGGAAAGTGTAATAAAATTGTTCCATGTTTTTCTCTACCATGAGAAAGAAAATGGTGCATGTAAATGAACAAAAGCCTGTGATATTTCTACTAGAATGGGCCATGTAGCACAAAAATGCTCAAAACCAACGTTTGACTAAGAGGGTCAAAAGGAAATAAATTCGTCTGATCAACAAGGTTCATGTACAGTAAACAGTTGAAACATCAACAACATATTGCAGACTTAAGCGAAACAGGAAGATGTGCATGTTTTGATAATAAGATATTCATCATAAACAGAAATAAAGCAAATAAGCAATCATGCATCCTCATTACAACACATATTATCCATAATGATGTCTTTGGGCAGTCTTACTTTTGGACAAAGCTACACTTGGCTTAATAAACTGGTATGCGGATACATCACTAAACAGTAAAAATAAGAAGATAAATCACAGAAGATGATATGCATTCATACAAAGAGGAAGATTATATGCATCCATACAATGGATGTGACAGTGAAACAAGTGCATAAAACATTATACTACAAGGATTTAAGCCCTAAAAGGTGTTTCCTAGAAATGGCAATTTCATTTCTACAATACCAGACAGAAACTAAGGATTTTGCAAGCGTTTGAAACAAATCTGAGATTCCCAACATCTTACTGGCGCGCACACACGGTTCAGACAAATTCATCACTGATTCATGCATGCGGAGGAACCAAATTGTTTGCAAATGCTCACCGCACCATGAGTTCACACAGCTATGTGTAGAGTTCCACCAATACATGCTAACATTTCAGAGACAGAGACTCCACATGTAATGGGAAATGATGTACTCTGAACCAATCCTCCCAATATGTTACCATCCACTACTACGCCAAAATTAATAAATCATAGACTATGAATCGCACCAGAGCAATGCAGCATTGCATTTGAACAACATCATGAACAAGTATACCACATCGCAAACAACAATGCCAACGAGTTTACAGCCAGCAAAGCAGCAGCAGCTGGCTTGCCAGGTTCGCATAAAAGATCAAAGAGTACAGAAATATATCAGTGCACGTTAAGATCAATATCTTGAAGCTAAAAACACATTCATGCACTGAAGCAGAGCTTCACAAGGCAAGAATCTCTGCAAGCTGAGAAAAAAAAGTAGCAGCAGAAGTTATAGACGTGGTCAAGTCAAACAAAAACACAGCAAGAGCCCCAAAAGCCCAAGCTCTCTCTCTCTCTCTCTCTCTCCCCCCAGATTTACGTGCAGCAGCCGCGACACGAAACCGTAGGTAACGCACGTCAAGAATCCCCCCCTAAAATCACGCAAGAACGCGAGAAAAAGAAAATAAAGAAAACCCAATCGGCGATAATAGCATGACAAAGCTTCCGCCGGGATCACGAAATGCGGCGAGCTCGCCGTCGCCAGCGGCGATGCTCGAGAAACGCGGCGGCGGCTAGATCGCCGTGGTAAAGGGGGTTTTGGAGCTCTCCGGCGTGCGGTGGCGCCGCACGGAGAGAGAGAGGTGGGGGGGGGGTGGTTACAGGTGTGGAGGCACTCGGAGACGGTGGTGGCGTCGCGGAGGATGCGGCGGCAGAGCGGGCACGTCATGCAGCGGGCGAGGAGCTCCCGCTTCACCATCACCACCTCGCTCGCCGCCGCCGCCGCCTCCCGCTTCCTCCGCCTCCGCCTCCGCCGCTCCCGCTCCCGCTCCCGCCGCGGCTGCTCTCCCCCATCCTCCTCCCCCTCCTCCTCGTCGTCCTCCTCCTCCACCACCTCCTCCTCCTCCTTCGCCGCCTCCGGCGATGCGGGCCCGGTCTGCATGGCGTGGGGCCCCCCTCCGAGGCAAGAGAGACAGAGAGAGAGAGAGGCTCCTAGCTCCTCCTCCGCATGCCGCGGGACGCCGCCTCGCTCCCCCTCCGCCGCCTCCGGAGCGTGGAAATGGGAGGAGAGATCGAAGCGGAGGAGGAGGAGGCCGACGACGACGACGACGACGAGGAACCAAAAAAAAATGGTATTTTTACGTATTTATCGAGGGGAAGAGGAGGAGGAGGGGAGGCACTTTGGGTTGGTTGGTTTTCTTTTTTTTTCTCTTTTTTTTTACCTTTTTGTTTCTCTTCCAACCCTTTTGTTTTGATTTACTTTTTTTTTTTACTTTGGTGTGAAAAGCAAAATTAATCTGATATAGGTTTGGTGGTGTTAATGTCACGGTATAAATGTAGCGAGAGTCGAATCGAAACATCAAGACAGATATTTCTACTGTGTAAAAGAGCGATGCGTTGCATATTGTGGGGTGGGTTTTTTTTTCCGTGTGTGCTGAGCTGGAAAAAGATAAGCATTCTATCTTTGGGTAGCGCTGGAGTAACATATGAAGTGTCGTCGTATGCGTGGATCAGTGTGCGCCAGTAGGTGGGTTTAAACGTAAGCATTTTTTAGGCTTTGAGTGGAGAAATTTCAGGTGATTACACCACGCTAGCTTTCTAATTGATGTGTCGTGTTCTACAGCACTCGCATTAAGCGTGAAAGTCGTCGCGTGCATGGATCAATGTGCACCGACTGATGGGTTTTAGTGTCATCATTTTTGTATTTGAAGCGGAGAAAAGAAGACACTCATGATACGACGATCGCTAAGTGTTGTGTTGTACACGCAAAACAAAATGGAATAACATCTAATATGGTTGGATTTACATCATGCTTTAGTTTTCATGTAGAGTTACATTTGTTTCCTTCGTGTTCAAAAGCAGTGGTCTCACTATTGTGTTATAAGAATTTCTGGTAACAAATGTGGCAATGCCTATATCTGTGCATTTTACTATGTGTGCATCAAACTTACCACGTAAGCATATCCAGGGAGGACATTATATGGCGAATTGCACTAGTACCACAAGATTGGTTGGTAGTTTGCAAAATCACATCATGGGTGTTTTCACTGCAAAAGTTTTTTTTTCCATATCCGTGCAATCAACACATATGTTGAGCTAGGAAAAAAAAAACCTCTTTGTCATTTAGTACATTTTACAGTACATAGCTGTCAGAATTGATAGTACACTAAACAAACATTTTGCTTGTTCCTCATAAACTAGTATCAAATTAAATATATCATGTATTGGTTTATTTTATTTTCTTTGTCATGAAAAGCAAAACTAACTTGTTAATGTCACGATATGAATGTAGTAAAAAGTTGTATCGAAATGCTAACACAGTTTGTTCAACCGTGTCAAAGGTTGATACTTTGTATTTGGGAAATACTTTGGGTGGATTTTTCCATGCGTGCTAAGTTGGAGAAGATAAGCATTCTATGTTTGGTAGCACTGGACTAACGTATCAAATATCGTCGTATGCATGGATCGGTGTGCGCCATTAGGTGCGTTTAATTGTAAGTTTTTTTTTTTGCTTTAAGTGGAGAATAATTAAGGTGATCACGCCGTGACAATTTTTAATTCATATGTTATGCTGTACAACACTGATGTTAAGCATGAATGCAGTAACATGTATTGCCAACGTGCACGGGTAGATGGGTTACAGTGTAAGCACTTTTGTATTTGAAGCGAAGAAATTAAGACATTATGATATCTGATTGGTGTATACATGCAAAACAAATAGCTAGTGACTCGCAAATGCAACACTGTTGTTGGATCAATTTTCATCTTGCGTTAGTTTTAGTATAGTGCGGAGTCACTTTTGTTTTCTTTGTGGTCAATGCCATTGGTCTCACTTCGTGTTATATAAATTTCTTCTAGGAAATATGATAATGCCTATTTATGCGAATTTTGCCACGTCTGCATCAAAGTCAAACTGTACATAATAATATTACAAAGATTATAAGTTTCATGGATTGTTTTGATAGTTTGCAAAATCACATCATAGCCATTTTCACCGTTAAAGTTTTTTATATATCCATGTGTTCAACGTATGTTGAGCTATAAAAGAAAAGAAAACATATTTGCCTTTTGTAGTAGAAAGCTGCCGAATTGAAATTGATAGTTCACTATGCAAACTTTTTGCTTGGTCTTCATAAACTAGTATGAAAGTAAATATCTTTGTATTATTTTACATTTTACATTGGTTTCACATATGGAACAATTGATGTCTAACAATTTCATTCATTTATAATTGACATAGCGTGGCTTACGATAACATAAATATCATGCATCCCCCACAACTGATTACTCCTTTTATACTCCACATTTATTATATGATGTGCAGAAAACCATTTGCTGACTTGCTCATCATGTATGCATGAGTGGTTGGTGTTTGATGTTTCACTTAACTTCTAGTAGCATTTATCGTATTGTACTTGTTTGTTTCACTAGTTGTGTAGTATCTATGGCTTAGCTATTTGTATTGCTCAAATTTAAAAGAGAGTAATTTAAAGATCCCATGGTAAATATTACTTCCTCCGTTTCACAATGCAAGTCATTTTAGCATTTCCCATATTTATATTGTTGTTAATGAATCTAGACATCAATATGAATATGTGTGAAATGCTAGAATGACTTACATTGTGAAACGGAGGGAGTAATAAATCTGCTACTTTTTATAATTAAAAAAAGAAGTACCCGGTTGAGAAATATATACAATTTTCTATGAGGATTAATAAGTTTATGAAACTAATAAATGAAAATTGCATGAATATATATACCCACATAATTATCCTCGAACAAAGAGTGAAAAAAAGGCAAAACTGATCAATTAAATGGATAAATTAATTAACCTTGTTAGATCTTCATCTAATCCTCATGTTTAACAGCAAAACCACTACTCCGTAATTATTACCCCTTTATAACACCGTTATTGGTCAAATACCACTATAGATTGTTTCCATCTTTCTTTGTGTGTATTTAGATTTAATTGGAAAATCAAGTGGCATAAGCTTCGTAATCATATTAAGACTTATTGTATTTTACATTTTGACAAAAAATTTAAGTAAGACGAATAGTTAAATGTTTGTAAAAAAAAATTAGCGGCGTCATATATTTACAAACGGAGGTAGTATGCAATTATACTAAGTGGGGATGATTTGTATGGGGATGATTTGTATAGATATATATAGAATTACCACGTAGTTCAGTAATAACGTATCCCATGGGTTGGCTTCATGGCCCATATATTTTATTTATTAATTAAGCCCTATATATACGGGCCCATCTGAATAACCACACACAAACAAAGATTTCACATAATTTTCCTAGAAGAGAAACAAACAAATAAAAACAAGGTTTTACTACACGGGCTTAATGCGATCTGCCTCCAGGCCCAGCCAATCAACCCTGAAAAAAAGGAAAAAGTACACCGAAGGTCCCTCAACAAAACCAGATATATGGGGTCCCTTAACTCTACAAAACCGGTCACCCGAGGTCCTAGCGTAGTATTGACACCGGATTTGTCCTACGTAGCGCTGTTTTTGTACACCGTGGCGCTTTGACCACGGTCTTCGGCGCTGAGTCAGTGCCTAGATACCCTCTTCTCCTCTCTCTCTCTCTCCTCTCTTCCCCATCCAATCTACCAAGACGGCGGCGTGCGGGCGAGCGCGCGGTGTGATGGCGGATAGGGCTGAGCGGCAGCCGGTAGAGGTGGCTTGCGGGCGGCGCCATCGCCGTCCGCCTCGTCCCCGCCAAATCCCGCCGCGGCGCGAAGGCCAGCATCGTCCTCCACCTCTTCTACGTGGCGGCGGCCATTCCACGGAGGCCGACGCGCTAGTCTACGCCGGCCCGGCCTTCTTCTCGGCTTCACCGGAGCCGAGCTCTACCGGCGAGGCACTAGCCTGGTGGCCGTCTTCCGGTTGGCCCTGGTGGGCCCTCGTCGTGACCGCCTCCAGGTCCGAGCCATCCAAGCGGAGCACAGCCTCCAGGCGGCCGGCGCCCCTGCGCTCCTTACCTTGAACCTCCCACTGTTGTTCCCCCTGCGCCGAGCAGCCTCACCGACTGCACAACGGTGACCTTCGGCGCGCCCAACGCCTCGTAGCGCCGCGACGGGTCACACAACTGGATGGCCGCCACCGGCATGATGTAGGCGTCGGAGTCATTTGACTCCGACCACTCGTCGGGCGACACCAGAGAGTCGAACACGGTGATGGTGACCCGCGGCCAACGCCACCTCGAACGGCACGTCCTCGTCGGCCATCTTCGCCTAGATCATGAGCGTGTCCACACCCATGGCCTCAAGCTTCTGTGGGGAGAAGCCAATCACCTCCTCCAGTGTCTCTGGGTTGTCCGCTGCAGTGGCGACGCGCTCACTCCGGCCATCAGACACGGCGGCGCCAAGCTTCGCCACTTTGTCCGCATCTGGGTAAGAGGGTTGGTAGTGGTTAGGTTTTCATGGAACGACCGCCTCCCCACCGAGGTTGCCGCTGCCGGCCGCTGTCGCGGCGCCGCCCTCCTTTCCCGCCTCCTTCTCCGTGCCTCCGCTTCGCCGGCCGCCGCGCGCTCGCGAGTTGCCTCCGCTGGCCGCCGCCCGTTCCTTGCTACTCACCCGCGGCAAAGGGAAGAGAAAAAAGAAAGGGGAAAGAGAGAGGGTGACGTGGACACCTGACATGATGGGCCCACGTGGGTCCCACGCTGTCGGTGACATGGGACCGGGAGTATCATGACTTAGAGACTTGAGGCAGACACGATCACCCACGTGGCCTAACCCCCTCGGGGGGGGGGGGTCGGGCCCAAGGGTGATACGGCCGCCCTTCTCTTTGTCTCCCCGAGGGGTCGGACCGCTCCCGTCTCGGCCCCGAGGGCCGAGGCGCCCCGACCCCTTGTGGGTTTTGCGCCGCGTATATGGGGTAGGTGAGCATAGCGGGGCTCACCTAACCACATTTATTGCGGTTTGGACGAGCGCGTCACGCCGCATGTAACGCAGTGCAGCGCGCTCGTTTATCCGGTCAGTGACCAGTCACAGACCGATCAGATCGTGGGTTAGGTGGCGACAGGCGGTCTGACGCACGCCTCGCCCCATCCCGTCAGGATGAGAGCCTCCAAGCACTTGTCCCTAGCCGGAGCCGGCGTGT